TGAGCTAAGGGTAGAAGGTCAGAGGTGGAAGCCAGTATCTTTCTTTAGCTATTAGATATCTGGAAGAAAGGGGAAAAATTGTACAGAATTTTTACTTAAGTGCCAACATTTTGCATTTTTTTGAGCTTGGGGCAAGAGTCACTTTTTTTTTTTTATTTTAAATCCTGTTAGTGGGTTCATAAATCCTCATAGTCCTGTTGGATAGTTGAATATAACCAAAACCAAGGTGAGTTATGTACACACCTGCTGCTGTTCATCAAATATTTACTAATAGTTCCTATAGGAAACTGGACATTGCACTCTGTTTATAGGAGTCCTGCTAACATGCAGGCTTTAGAAAAGACTGAAATTACTTGGAGGATAATTTGCCTGGTTTAGGAGCAATGTGAAGCTGGTATAAGCGGGCTATATGCTGTCACATCTTGTTACAGCCAGAATACAGGGCAAGCTGGAGCAGCAAGGAGGGGAGGCATAGCACTTTCTGCTGAATTTCTGACTTAGGCTCCCGAATTACTCCCAGTCACTGGTGGAGTGACAGCTGACACCTCAAACACTCCTTGAGTTTCCCCATGTTCATCCTGGCTGCTCCATTTCTTTAACACACACACACACACACACACACACACACACACACACACATACACGTCATCCCTCTGTTACCATACTGTTATACTTTTATTTACTTTTGTTTCTTTTATTTAAATTGCTTTTGCTTACTTTTATTTCTGTACTGTTTTGGCACCTGAAAGATTAAATGAAACTGAAACAAAAAGTAGGAAAAGAGCTGCAGCTCACTGCTTTTCTGAGTTTCATGCCTCTTCGCGATGCATTACAAAGTAGGAAGTTACTGCTTTTGATTGGGAAGGTGGTGATGCTAGGATGCAAGTGGAAAAGTGGCAAAGGGAATAGATAAAATGTTTGGGGCAGAATCAACTGCTGCTCCTTTTCTATAGATCTGTAGATTAAGTCATTCCATGTATTAAGCATTCAGCACATTTGCCTTTGAAGACCAGAGTTTTTGAAGCTCTGAAACTTTGCCAGAGGTTTTTAGATCCACATTTTGGCTTGTAGCAGGGTTGTGAAGAAATGCCATGTAAGACTCTGTGTAAAGTCAAGCTGTGGCTTCCGAAAACTTCTGCAACTTCTTAAAGAATATACACAGTAGGGAAAAATGTTTAATCAGGGATTTGTTTTTGATGCTGTGTTCAGTTGACATCCCAGCAAGTCGCAGAAGCCAAAAGGTTCCTTGCTTGTGCAATGCCTTCATGAGAAGAGAGGAAATTGGGAGCAGCAGCATGGAGCACAAGGCAGAAGAGCTCAGATCCCATCTCTGTTACTGGATGGCTTTGTGACCCTGGGCAAGTCACTTTGCTTCACAGTTCCCTATCTGGGAAGAACGGGCAGGTAGTACTTACCACGTGTCTCCCATGTGGATTGCAAGGGCCAGAAGAGCACGTGTTCACCCAGAGCATCCAAGGTGCAAGAGTTAACTTCTCTTGCTGAGGCTTTTGTGCTGAGACAGCCCATTGGTATTGTCACCGCAGGTGGTGCACATCCTGCAAGGCTTTCCTTGAGTCTTCTCTGCAATGGCTTTTCCAAAACAGAGGGAAAATCCCCCTTGTAGAGATTCCTTCCTACACGCACATATAAACAGCATTTAGGGCAGCTATCCTGCGGTAGTTGGACGTGCTGCAGCACTCGGGAATGGTTAAACCTCTTCCATGGGGCTGTTTGGAAATAACGTGCACTACTAGCGTGCCATGCAGTGTGCCAGTAAGACACTGGCTCGCGTGGAGGCAGGTGCTGAATTGTGCCCTTGTGTAATCAAAAATCTCCTCGTTGGGTGCTATCCTAAAAAAAAAAAGCTTGGTCGTTCTGGAGGGAATGGGGTTGGCAGGTGTCCAGCTGCAAATCAGGGTTCAGAAACTGTGGATGCGACGTAAGCATGCAAGATGTGAGGCGTGATCCCTGCAGCGTTTCATCCTTGCAGTGACCACTGGGGAACGTGTTTGCTTCCCCTCTCAGTGCTGTCACGCTAGGGGCTGTGTCAGATCAGGAAGCATCGCTACTGTGCTTCTCCGCAGCCCCGACTTGTCACAGAAACAGCTCTTTTTTAGATGTTCTCCTCTGTTCATTTCCATTATTATATCTGGTGTTTCTGGGTGGCAAGCAAAAATGAATAACCTTGTAAATGCTCCCTGTCTTTCAATTTGTTTTATTTTTTCATGCAACATGTCAGTGCATTTTTGTTGAGTGTTTTTAATAGGGATGAAGTCGCTGAAAATAAATTGCTTTGCAGTTCCTGCTGTGGGTGACAGAAATGCTGGGTCTGTAATTTTCCAAAACTGTGCATTTGTAGCCAATGCAGAGGATGTTCTGTATGCCTCCAACTGCAATCATCTTCATGAGATACTGCCTGGAAAAAAAAAAAAAAAAAAAAAAGAAAAGATAGAAAAGAGAGAACAACTCTCAGTTTGAATTTAGGGGGCAAGATGCACTGCTATATCCAGCTTCTGCTGGGCACAGTGAGAGAAAAAGCTGTCAAGGAGAATTTTAGGATTGATTTTGAGCCAGGTTTGGGGCTGCCATATGGGAGATTAAGCCAGATCTGTGTCTAGTATGAGAGGAAGAATGAATTATGTAGCAAACCCACTTCTCAGAGCATCCTTTAGGCATGGTTTGGAAATTTAGGCTTGGGACTTAGAGATGTGAAAACTGCAGTGCCCATCATGGATACACATTATTGTTTTCTGAGCATTTCTAATCTGTTGTCAATCATCTTGCTCTAAAAATATAAGATGGATGAATGGCCATCTCCATATTATCAATATATATTTAGTGGATGGTCTGGAGATGCCCATCTCTTCCTGGAGACGAGGTAATGCAGGTACTGAAAATGTGATTTCTGATTCAAGATTTTCCTGTTTCTTTTCTCTCAAACTCAATAGAGGAAAAATTGTTGAGACTTGCCGTGTTTTTTTTTTTTATATATTTTGATAAAAGATTCAGAAAAATGTAGTTTCCCCTCAAGTTTTGAATAATCACTGTGTTCTTGGCTAATTTTCTCTGCCTCTGGCATGCTCAGTTATCTGTGAAGTCAGTGCTAACATCCATCTCATACTGCATTTTCTGCTGCATTTTCGTTTGGGCAAGTGCAGTTCTCCTGTTGCGCTCAGAAGCACCCCCGGAAGCTGCTGTTGAAGCTGGGCCTCAAGTCACACTCTGGTATTTTCAAGCCTGAGGCCATGCTCTTTGAATCAATTTTACTTTCTTCAGAAAAGCTTTTACACCTCTATGGCTCCATATTTCAGAGACTTTAAGAACAGTTAGTCAAACCTCCATATTTATAATCCCATTTTCCTCATTCTGTTTCAAACTGAGAAATTTCCTCCCAGAGTATAGTGCTGGAGGTGTAGAAAAGACAGTAGTCTCTTTTGGATTAATTATTTTCACTTCCCTCTTGAACTTGAGGAGTTGAATTAATAGTACTGGAAACAGAACCAACTTGCAAGATGGGGAACACAGTCCTGCCCCCTCTGTTGCACTATGTGGAAAAAGAAAGGGAAAAGCAGGCTGAAAATTTGGAAAAATCTCAAATATGTGTTTGCAAGGTGTCTAGTGATCTCAAAGGAGCTGCTCAGAAAGTTCAGTTCACCCTTGCGTTGTTGGAGCCGCCTTTGCACTCCTGGTCCCTGCGTGCAGCCCTGCGGAGCCTTTCAGAGGAGCTGGTAAGGGAGGAGTGGGGATGTCTGCCTTTGTCACACGCGTTATGAGCCTTAAAGTCAACTAAACTAAAGTCAACTAAAGCCAAAAGTGCCAAGGAACAGAAGGGACTTCGCAGTTAAAAATGCCTGTGTGCTCTGTTCATGGTCAGGATCATGCTGTCTTTCAGATCCTGAACAATAAATGTCCACGCTAGTCCATTTCCTGCTCTACTAGGTTATTATGTTCTGGGCAAACAGAGAACAGTAGAGCCAAGAATTGCAGCAGAGATAGAGGCTGTGAAGGCTTTTAGACAGACTCATTGCCAATGAGGGCCGGTTGCTTGGCCTGGGTTACAGCTGCTGTGGGTTTAAGGGGTTCTCTCGTCAGTGCTCCTGCCGCTTCCCTGAGGTAACTGCTCGGTGCTCGCTCTTAGGCCGGATTTCTGGAGAGTTAGGCTAAGTTTTCTTCTGCTTGGCTACCCATTATCCCAGCTAAAAACACCAAGACTGCCCTTCTGCGGCCAGCCCTTCCCTTTCAGAAGACTTTATTCCTGTCAGACTTCGCAGACCTCTGTGTGAGGACTGGCTTCCTGCGCCTCACGGCTAGGGCCCCTTTGCTGCGTTTGTAGCACCGTTACATGGGACTCAGGGGATGGCTGCTCCAGCAAGTCGCTGCTTTCCAGCAGCCAGAGCTGAAGCCCTTACGTAGCTGCACACATGCAGTTCTTTTGATATTTTCTCCTAATTTCAACTATTTAGCTTTTTTTTTTTTTTTTTTTTTTTTTTTTTCCCCGAAGTCCTCTAGGTTGGTTTTTTTGGCATCTACCTGGTTCTCAGGTGTCCAAGTCAGAACAGTGTGAGCTTGGTGAGGGGACCTGAGGCCACTTCTGTGCAGTCTCACTGTATAGGAACTCTCAGAGCTGCCATAAAAGCTTAGACCCGATTTTAATCTTCTTCTCCTCCTGGTCTTTTGAGTCATTTTTGGTTACCATATTCTCTCTCACCAGAAGATTAAACACTGAATCAATCCATCCGTGGTAAGTCTGCAGTTTGCAGAACCCTTATTTAAAATATTAATCACTCCCAGTCTTAGGTTCTGATTCTGTGCTGCTTTTTCTCCCAAAAATATTCTGCTTAGCCATGTGTAAAAAGAGGTTTGTTTATATATGTGTGTGTGTGTGTGTGTGTGTATATGTCTGTGTGTGTATGTGTGTGTGCATATCGATATACATGTCTGTGTGCATGAGCGCATTGATCTGCTGGCATGTTTACAACATTCTGTCTATTGTTTTCTAGGTATTTGGTGCTAGAACATGTGTCAGGTGGGGAGCTCTTCGACTATCTTGTAAAAAAGGGAAGATTAACACCAAAAGAAGCTAGGAAGTTCTTCCGACAAATCATCTCTGCTTTAGACTTCTGCCATAGTCATTCAATATGGTGAGTAGAGTCATTTTCAACAGCAATTACCTGTGACATAAAAGTGCATAATAATGGGATCTTACTTCTTGGCACTTTCTTTTACTGTTAAGTAACTAATGTTGTAAAGCCTTGAAAGTGTTGTATAAAGTGCTGATGTATCTTTTTAATTCCTGCCTGCTTGTGAAACTGCACACCAGTCACAGACAGACTTTACATGGAGAAGATTGTCCTTGGTTTCATTCTGGAAGAGGCTTCATTCACAGAGAATGCTTTAACCAGGAAAACAGAAGCCATAAGGGAGAAGCAATTTAATTTCCAGTGTTCTTGGGGATGCTTGCCAATAGCTGAAAGTTGTACATGCTATATCAAAGTGAGTCCCTGAAGAAACTTGGGACAATTACCAATACTGTAAAGTCATTTTTTTTGTTTCCTTCAGTTTTGGAAGTGTGTTAGCTTCTGGCAACCTGACTGAGTCCTGTCTGGGCTTTTGAGTCACTGTTGCCTTTAATTTCCTTTCCAGTAGGGAACAATTTCCTTGATCTACCTGCTATTGATACTTACTGACTCCATCAGATGATTTAACCATCAAGTGTGGTTTAACCTGCACTTTCAGGTGGTGTTTTAAATTGGCTTGGTTTCTACTTCATCTTCAACAAGTTCAGATAATTTAAATTATATTAAAATTAAGTTGTTACAATCAATCTGAAGCACAGAGTTTCTGTACAGCTGCTGACCCGTAGCTGCTTCTCGGTAATACATCTCCTCACAGCTAGATTGGCTGAGAGGGGTCATTTACATAACGTCCGCGTGGCTGTTTCTGAGGAGCCACCGGCTGCTGCAGATCCCCCCTCTCCACTAGGCCGAGGGCCACTGCTACACATGGAGTAGAAGGATTTACATAATCCTGGTATGGCTACTTAACAATAAACATACAGTGATTTTCCATTCCCTCTGGTTTTGTGCTGAGAACTCCAAAACCAGATATCTGTAGCGTAAATGGCCACAGCAAAAATGGATATCTATATATTTAACTTACGCTTCTTGTCCTGTTCCCTTTGCATTGCTGACTCATTCCAGTAGGATATATTAACGTAAAAGAGAGCATATTTCTGATAAATGGAGAGTAACAACCTTTCTTGAAGATATACTGAGAGCATGCAGTTAGTATGGGGAATGGGCTGTTCAGAGACGGTGCATTTGGGGACAAGGAGGTCCTGAAGCTGATGCCTACTTGGCTTCAGGTAAGGTTCAGTGAGAGTCAGGGGACTTCTCCCAGGAGCTGAGAGGGCTCTGTGCCCTGGCTAGAGCAGCTAAGTTCTCTCTGTTCACAGCTACCTTGACAAATTTTATTCTCTGAATTCCACTGTTTTTCTCAATGCTGCTTAACAGAATTGAGAGATCATGAACTTCTCAAATGTAACTGATTTTCCAGAACTTTGTAGTAGATGATGCTCTGTGCCATAATCCTTGGAAGGTTGTACAGCTCTAATTCTTTGGCTGTACTGGACAGTGCAACCACTACTGGGTCTGATTTCCTAGGTATGTTCCTGTTTTGTACTTGGCATTTATCCAAGAGCACTCAAAACTATTTAATTGTGACCGGAAGAGAAATTATTTACTTTTTTAAATGAGTATTCCAGAGAAATATGAATTTCTGTGGTGATGGAAGTGTCTAATTCCATCATGTGTATGTGTACATGTGTATGCAGGGACTCACTAGTCCTTTGCACTTGCGGCAGACACCTCCTGATGGTTGAAACTTTAATAAGCTGAGTGAGGATCCTGGCAGATCTGTCAGACAGGCAAGTACTTTTGCAGGCTTAAGGAAATGTGGGATTTCCAAGACACAGCACACATCCCTCTTGAGGAATCCATTTTCTTCTGTTAAACATACTGGATTGGGGGCAGTCGTCATGTGCAGAAGTGAATCCCCTGTCTCCTTGTCGACTCCCCCTTCACCAGCAGCTAGTGCTGAATAAGCAAGCAGTAAATCATAAGCTCTCCCTTCCTCCAGGTCACTCGGAGACCTGTGTGGTCCCTGAGATGATATTAGAATCTGTGTAATATTCTGAACAGTCATCGTTAAATCATTTTCTTGCAATCAAAGCATACATAAATATATGTCGGTGCGTGCGCGTGTGAGAGTCGAAGTCTATGTGCCTTCCTAAGCAATGGAGCCTGACCTTGCCCTGTCGTGGGGCAGCGAAATGACAAATCATCTCATCAGTTAGGTTATCCAGTTATGACCACGTTGAAAAATGAAGGCTTCTGCTTTGGTTAATGACTAAATGTGGGTGCCTCTAAGCCCCTAGCAGAAGAGATTGATGGCCTGGTGTCCCCAGCTCTGCTTCACTGTCCTGTCTTCTTCCGCTGCCTCCCAAAATGTCTGTGCTCGTGTTCACAGCAGAGCATTGTCACGTCCAGCTTTCATTGCTTACAGAGCATTGATGCTGCAGGATTCCTGGATCAAAGGATCTGGAAGGATTCCCTGGTGCTCCCTTCCCTGCAAGGCCTCTGCCGCTGCCATGGGCAGAGATGACCTGTGGGTGGGGAGATTCTTCCAGACAAGGAGGCAAAATGGATGTGGGGCTTGGGCACTTTTGTTTGGGATTTAAAGCAGCACGAGCTTTCTTTCTTTGCCCTTGCAATGCGTGGGAAGTGCAAAGGAGGCAGGGAGGCGCCTCGCTTCCCGGCGCAGGCACCCAACGGAGGTTGGGATAAGGTTGGCTGTGGGGAAAAGCTCCCCTGCAGCCCCTTGCGGTTTCCCTGTGGGCTCTGCCGGGAAGGAGCCGTGCAGGAAGGCGGGCAGGCAGCCTCCGCGTCCGACCGGCCCAGTGCTGCAGCGCTGCCCTGTGCGCCGCCCTCTGCGCGCCACACCGCAGCGCGGGGACCGGGGCGCATAGGGTGTCACCTTGCTAGCTCAGACGTGTCGTTTGGATGCCGCTAATGCTTTTTTTTGTCTCCTTTTAAATTAGGCTGTGCAGCCGGGGCCGGCAGCCTGCATGGCCGCAGCGGGCGCGAGGCAGCCGCCGTTCCCCGCACGCAGGAAGCGAAGTGAGAGCGGGCGCCGGCCCTGGCTGCGCTGGAGGCGGCGGGTGCCGCAGGGGGAGGCGGGCGCCGCTGCCGCCGCCACGGCCGCGCCGTTGGCTGCGACTGACATCACCGGCCCCGGCTGCCATTGGCCGCGCTCGCGTTTGTGCGGCTGGGGCTCTCGCGTGGGCCAGGCCTCGCTCCGGGCGTCTGCGCCGCGCGAGCTGACAAATAAAAATATGATTAGAGAAAGTGCCCCGTGGCAAGCCTTATTACGGCTCCCGAGATAACAGATAATGCCAATTACTGCACGGGGCGGCGGTGACAGTGAGGGGATATCCCCTGCGGTAATGCGCGGCAGGATGATTATTTCATTTTATTTTTATTTTGGTTGGATTTCATTTTGGCTTCTTTTTTTCCCGAGCGTACACAAGAGGGGTTGCGCGGGTCCTTTATGAATATTGATAAATGACAATTATGAGGGCCCTTTCAGTGCTCGTAGCCCGGGGCTGTGCCCGCCCCGGCACGCACTCCTGCTGAAGCGTGTGCAGGGGGGGCGGCTGAGAGGGGATGCAGCAGGAACAGGAGCTTTGTCTGAGTGTCTGAGTTTGCCTTGCGCTCTTCCCAGCGGGGCAAGGGGGGAAAAGCTGTTTATTAGATAATGCTTCAGGATTTCACAGTGGTAGTACCAAAATCTCTGGTGAGATTCCTCCAGGCTGGAGCTGCCGGACACTGTCAGTAAAGGAAGCAGGCCCTTGGGAGAGACCCGGGATATCTGCAAGAGAGGGAGGAAAGTGCCAGGTGTCACAAGAAATTGTCCTGTCAGGCAGCATCACCCTTCTAGGGACTCTTGCCTTGCTTTGCTTCGTTTATGTTACAGTGTTGTGCCAGGATAATCTGTCAGATACGTAAGATGACAGCAGTTGGGCACGCGGAAGTCATGACCGAAGGCCTGCAGTATGCAATCAGTCTGGAGACTCTGGAATTTAATAGTGCTGGTCCATATGGCTTTGCATTGTGGCCCTTCAGCCCTTCTGATTTCAAATTTTCCAACCAAACACCATGAGTTAGAAAAATACCTTTTCCCCCTCATGAAAGCAGAGTTTCCCCAAGAATTTCCCAAATCCTGGCATTTCAGGCTGATGAACGAGGCTTGCTCTAAAAAGCCAAAGAGTTTTTCAGCTTTCCCTTGTGCAGCAAACTGGAGAAAACCAACAGAGGTCAGCAGCCACAGTGCCAAAGGTGGAATAACCAGCTCAGCTCAAGTCAAAGAGCGCATCTTTGTATTATTATTTCTTTATATAATCTGCTGGGGACCCCCAAATGGCGTATTCGTATTGTAGGCAGAGCCAGGCGATGTTCTTTGGCATGTACCGTGGTGGTGATCAGAGCTGACAGTCTGTTCTGGCTTTGAAGCACATGAAAATAGGCGAGATCTGTAAGGAGGGGCGATGTATTTTAATAGATCAGCAGAAAGAATTGCAAAAGAGCAGGCACCATTTTAGGCAGCCCAGGCCTTCTGCAGGACTCTTGATGTGTTGGTAGGTGTTGTCCTTTTTCCTAGCCACGACTATATTTATTTGTTCTGCAGAATTCGGTGAAAACTTGCTAAATCTGAGCATAGGAAGCGTGACTCCAAACAAAGATGCTTCTGGAGGGAGCTCTAAGTTACACATTCAAATTGTGTTTCCAGAAGGAAGTGAAAAATAAGATGAAAGGCTTTTTCTGCTTGTAAAAGTTAAAAATACTGCTTCTCTGCTACTATTATTACTGATAAATGATTTGCCTCACAATGAGCTTGCGCTGAGCACTTTTAAGAGACATATTGTGAAAAATTATTCTGTGGTCTGGCCCTGCAGGGAGTTTGGGGTCAGTAAGAAAAGCATTTGCAAAGTAGCCAACAATTTGATTATTACAAATGACCTGCAACTACTCCAATTAGGAGGTTCTTGGGTTAGAAATCTGTGACCTACAACATGTTGTCATAGAAACAGGTACGAATGTTTCAGCTCAAAAATCACTTTAAAATAATGAGTTAGTTCATCATCTCGTGCCAGGTGACAGAACTGCTTTGAATCTGGTATCCTAAGTCTGTGTCTAGGCCAAACACCTTCTGCCAGGCCGGGATGGCGAGGAGAGGGTGACTGCTTTGCCTCTGCCTTTCCCACATTCAGCGATTGCCTGCAGTGCAGCTGGGCAGATATTCCCAGAGCCGGAGGATAGACTGGACGGGCAGTGGAGGGAGCTAGAGAAACGGGTTGGATGGCAACAGCAGCCAGCAGGGCATTCTGCAGCACCTCCAAGATTTGTACCCATTTCCCTAGGACTGTTTTTGCATCTCTCTCTTGCTCTTGTGCTACAAACGAATTGCAGAGCCTTTGAAGGAAGGGACGTTGCAAAGGGCCTGAGTGTGCGTGTGCTTTCCCTGGCATGGCTCGTGTAATGCCTCCCCTTCGCTCCACTCTCCTTTCAAAGAGCCTCCTATGCTGGTTCACGGGCCAACTTCTTCCACTGTCATCTCGGCTGAGGAGCTCGGGGCAATCTGCTTGCATCCAGGATCAGAGACCTGCAGATTTTTTTCTGCAGGGCAGTGCTGCATTTCTCTTTCATATTCCGTCTCAGCATATGCAAGGCTCAATAGGAAACTTAGCACTGTTTGGCACTAAAGAAGCTGCTTTCTTTTCTTTTGATTTTGCAGCCATGTGGTAAAGCCCCTACAGCGCTGGAGCCTTTAGAACAATGAAAGGGTAACGAGTCCTCTGCTCACCTGCAGGGAGAGGAGTTGATGCGGTCATATAGGACATGGAGAGCCAGGGAGATCAGCTGGAATGGGACCAAATTAAATGCATTTGCTCTGCAATGTTCCATTAATGCCAAGTAATTACCACATACAGTGGGATTTTTGTTTTGTTTCATTCTGGCACTAGAGAATTCTTTCCAAATATGAATGCATGAGGCTGTCCGGGCTGCTGGGCTCTTAGGTAAATTATAACAAGCCTTCCCTATTCCCATATGTTCTTCTCCCTTCCTTCTGGCATTTGAAAAGCTGGCGTTACAAAGATGGGAAATGCAAATGCAGAGAGCAAGTCTCATCCCCAATGGCAAGGATGTGAGTTCTGCTGTTCTAGTCCAGACTCTGGGTCTCAGTTCTGTCCCCGAGATGCTGCCTCCACAAATACAAAGGCTTCCTAAGATGGAGAGCGGAGAGATGTCCCAGCCAGACAAAAATTTTCACCTGGGGCACGGAACTGTCATTTGGTTAAATGTGCAGGAGCTGCCTGATCACACAGGCACCCTCATCTCTCAGTGGGATCTGCAAGTGCTGCCATGGTACAGAAGCACACTCACGATTGCCATGAAATTCTCTCCTAGCCATCCATATCCTGGCACAAGGATCTGTGTTGCAGGAGGGATGGGGAGGCAAGACTGATCTATGATAGCTTTTTTATTTTGGGGCCCTGTCTATTCATCAACAGGTGTATTGCTTTTTCATAGCATCCTCACTCTTCTCTCTGCTGAATGACCTGAGGTGGAGGGAAAAGCTGATAATTTCCCTTGATGTTATTTTGGTGAGTGTCTGGAGCCAAGAGAAAAAGAAAGAAAGAAAGGCCCTGATGTTTTTTAATGGACAGGCATCCACGTGGGAGAAATGCTTTTGAACCTCCTGTGTTTAGGTCATGCTGTGTCTCATCACTGCATCTCTCAGCAAAAATGAAAAGCAGGATCTTTGGTGGCAATTCTGAGTGAGGTATTAATGTTGGCACCGTTCCTGGAGAATCACCCTTGGCTTTGGTTGGCTTCCTCCCTGACTTTGCCAGCTAACAGGCTGCAGGCTGAATGAGCAAAGAGAAGAGCCACCACCGCTGAGAAGCACCTCCTGCTTTACAGGGAACGTGCTCCTGTGTCCTGATCAGCAGACAGGAGGACTTGATCCCCCGATTGGATTGAGTCTTCCCTGCACCCAGTTAACCAAACCAATTGTAGGATGGGAAATGTCCAGGATGGCAGCTGGAGGAAAGATTAAATTTTGTTCTCCTGTCTCATTAGTGTCCAGCTTCCCGGGCTTGCCTCGGGTCTGTGGGCTCTTCACTCCATTTCACTGCTGGGGCTGGGACTTGTTCAGATTTGGCAGATGTTGACAATCTAGCATTTGTCAGAGGCCGCTGTCCTTGCTAATGGCATTCAGGAATTCTTTCCTGACCATTAACTGTTCATTCACTGTCTTTGGAAACATTTGCTTGTCACTCAGCTCCAAATTTTTGTCAAATAGTTGGAGATGAGTCTGTCTGATGACTGTCTTGGTATTTATTCCATAGTAGATAAGTCTTCTGTCTTCAGTTACACTGAAACTTTGATTGCTATGAAAAAGATAGAGTTTATGAAATACCTTTTGCTTTCTCAGATAAAATATTCACAGTTCTGAATCATACTGCTCGAGTTACTTGCCCTTGGTTAACAAGACACATGGCAGCTTTAACAGGCAGGAGTCGTGCTGATACAAAAATGGAGATCATATTATACCCTACAGAAAAAGGAGTGGAAGGAGTCCTACGACTCTGTGTGATAAGGTAAATGTTTTGGAGCTTTCATCAACAAGACATCAAAGAGACACTTTGCAGAGACAATAGACAAGTTTCTTCTTCAGTCTGACTGGTTTTGAAGTGTTTCCTCATCCCTGTGACTCTTGAAGGGCTACAGATAAAGAGCAAAAAGCGGCAAAATCACATACATCAGGAATGGGTATTTCGGAGATGGTCTAAAGTTTTGCAAAGATTGTATCTTGGATATGTTATTCTCCTATCTAGGACAGGAATAAAAACAAAGTCGATTAAAATATAAAAGGATGGAGACTATGCTGGCTAAAGAACAAATCGTGGAGTGGGAAGGATGCCCAGGATGATTAAACTCATATTTTGATCCTTCTTTTACAGCCACAGGGACTTAAAACCAGAAAACCTACTATTGGATGAAAAGAACAACATCCGGATAGCAGACTTTGGGATGGCATCACTGCAGGTTGGAGACAGCTTGTTAGAAACCAGTTGTGGGTGAGTGTCTCAGAATTATTACAAAAATCAATGATGGATTCCAGGCGTAAAGGTCATCTTCAGTAGGAGTTTTGATGTAAGCCTGTAGACTTACACTGCGCACCATTATTTCCCAGTAAGATAAAAAATTAATATATAGTGCATAAGATAACTAAAAGGTTTTTAGAGTGGTTAATGCTGAGAAGCAATTCTCTGACCTTGTCACACGGATATCGAAATGAAGGCATTCGAGTTGGGATTCATCTGCAGACGTTGGCTTGTGCTTGCATTCACTGGCTGTGTATTATTTAGAAACTGTAAGCAGTAGTGATGGTATTTTAAGAAGAGGCTTTAAAAATATGAATGATGGGAGAGAAAGAAAAAAGAATGTCAAGAATTGGGTCTGGAATTTGCTTGTGGTGTTCAGGCTGCCTGCTTGCCTCTCCCTTACTGCTGCACGCCGCTGGGCTGCTGCCTCCCGTGCGGGATCAGCAGGGGGGCAGCGGGATCCTTGGCGGCTGCAAGTAGGGCACAAACACAGATACCCAGAAGACCCCATGAAGAAATACTGCCAGGGTGAGCTAGAAACGTTTCCAGGCGAATCCTGTTGCCAGCAAGAGCCTCCTAGGGCTTCCCAGGGGAGGTGGCAAAGGCGATTCCGGGCGCAGCTGGCAGCGCGCGGGCGGCACTGCCGTGCCACAGCAGCCTGCCCGGAGCAGCCTTTAGCGGGGCCCCAACGCTTGTGCCGCGGAGCTCGGCGGCTGGAGGCGCAGCCGGTGCCGGCAGGTTTGCGCCTCCTCCCCTTGCAGCCCGGCGCTTCCTGGCCTGCGTGGTGGGAATGAGGTGACGCAGCCTTAGCCTGTACCCAGTGCCAAGGCAGTTCAGGATAGACGTCAAGTCATCCTGGTTCCGCATGCAGCCCAGCCTGGTGCCTCTCACTCCTAAGCTGTAGCACTTCTGTTTTCCAAGTCTTAGGTAAGGGACTGAAATACTGCTTGAAGTTCACGATGTGTTCAAATGTCGGGTCATGACTACATGGAGGCCCCCAGTTCCTCTCTGTGTCTGTGCCAAGTCAAGATTTGAACTCTTAACAGCACAGATGAGAAGCGAGGAGCTATGAGTCGGTACATTGTCACAGCGTCGTTCAGACCTCTTCTCTCGCCTGGGAAATGAAGTCTTTGCTGCAGTTATTACACAGTCTCCATATGCTTTAAAGAAAATCTCCTGCTTTCCTTCCCTGGTTTAAAAAAAAAAAAAGGAAGAACCTGATCTCCTATTACCCCCTATAAGATCCTTCATAGTCCTTAGGAGTTAACCAGGCGGGTTACAGGTCTTGTTAGCAGAGAGGGCTGTGTTGTCTAGGTCTGGCATCTCAAAGGGACCCATCTTGTCCTTAAGCAGGGCAGGAATTCAAACCTTCACGGCTTGAGCGGAGGCAGCCACCACCCTGCAGCATCAGGACGTGCTAATAAAGAAATCAATGGCACGGAAGAGACGTGCCTGTAATAAACACAACACGCAGCGGCACTCCGAGCTCCTGCCTTGCAGATGCATTTTAAGTATGGTGCCAATCACTAGGCCTCCATGTGAGCTATTACACCACTTCATTAATTCTCCTGGCATGGAGCCCAGCGTGGCTGATACTGGTGCCTTGTGATGTATCTGGTTTGGGGGGCGAAGGGAGGAAGGAAGGAAGGAACGTGGAGCAGTAGGACACTTCACAGAGGAAGGCAATCAAGTGCTCGCTCCCCTTCCCTGGGAGCACTCGGGAACCAACCTCAGAGCTTTTCAAGGCAACAGTTTCACCTACCCTTGTAGTTGGGGCTTTCAGCCAGCATGAAAAGGAACAAAACAGATTGAATCATGGCAGAGATACTGAGCTTTAATGAGCTGTTCCTCCATGCACTCAGAAGTTAATTTCCAGAATGGTTTTATCTGTGCTGTGAACACTGATAATGAGATGAAACTGTAACATTTCCACTGACAGTCATGCGAGGAGTCTCCAGGTATTTCTGTCAGTCAGAGTGGGAGGATCGGACAGGCTTTAGCACGTGATGCAACCAACTTTCTGTCGGAACAGTAGGGCACCTAGAGTGCAGTCAGAATTACTTTCCCATCCAAAGAGAACTGCCAAGTGTAGTCCAAAGTTTGGATAGGCTTTAGGTCACCACAGAGCCTTGAGGGATCTCAAGAAGACACTTCTGTGGCCTGAGGTAGGCCGTGTTGCACTCCTCAGTGTTTGATGGGTGCTACCCATCAGCTCAGCACAGTTTTCTGTAGCACTGCTGGCTACCAGGAGGAGGTGATGAAAGTTCAATCTACCTGTGGTATTTTTTTGGTTGGAGAACACGGATAAGAGCTAGGGAGAGACTTGCTCTTTTATTGATATAATTTTTCACTGACAGACTGCAAAGCAGGCCATGGTGGTGAGAGAATTTGTCCAATCCGTCCTGCCATCCCACTAGGCAGGAGGAATGAGTGTCTTAGGGCTGAACCTCTGGGCTCCAATCCAGGAGATGGGAGGTTGGTTTCTTTCTGCACTGAAGGAGACATTATCTTTCCCTGCTTCTCTTTTCCATCCTAACAAGTCGTTGTGCTGCCTCACTCTCCCTGAACATGACTTACAGTCAGCCCTATGGGAGTCTTGGAAAGCAGCAAGAGTTGAACCGTGGATCCTGTTCCCCTGTCTTGAAGTAAGAGGTCTCATGGCTAGAATGAATTGAATAGGGATACTATTGAACTGCAATTGTTCAGAGTTTATAATAATCTTTCCTAATTCCTTGTTGTTCCCTACCATGTCCTGGAAATGTGGCAAAATAAATTTTCACCATCTCCTTGCTTCTCTCTGTTTCACCCATCTCAGCCTTGAAGCACGGAGTCTCTGGCAGAAGGAGGTTGTCATGGGCTGCCTGGTGGCTGGGAACTCATCAGTGGTGACAATCCCTGTGCTACCTACCTCGAAATCCCTCTCTCCCAAACAAACAGAGCTGGTGTGTGTGAATGCAGCTCGCCCGCACGCAGACCAGTCCCTGGAGAGGCAGTCACTGCAGAGCCTGACACCACAGCCACCAGGCCTGCAGCTAACTGCAGCAGTTCTCTGTATCACTGTCTCCATAGGGAATCCTTGGCCTCAACCAGAAAGCTGGTGCACATGGGAAGAACAGGGATGATTATGGCCTTTAATTTTATTGAGAAGAAAGTTTTGCACCTGTTAGTGATGTTAGCAGGGGAAGAGAAAACAGCAGCTTCAAACCCCAGCGGAGTTGATTCCTCTGCCCACGGCTCTCCCACAAAACCGTTCCTAGCACCCTTTGCAGGCCCACAGACTTCCCAGACCTACTGAAAAAAGTGTGTGTCCTTGTTAAGATTGCTGATTCCTTCTAAGCTCAGGGCATTTACAACAGCCAGGGCCCTGTGTGTTTGTTGGAGGAGCCAGTGGGGGTCATGGAGCTCCTGCTCCCCATGCATCTGCGTGTGGGGTGTGAGGAGCTCTATCAGCAGCACGATGTGGGGTGTGAGGAGCTCTATCAGCTGCCATTCACCCATTCCCACTAGGATGGATCCATAACATCACGCTGTGCGTATCTCCTTCCTCTTTATACACTTGTGTACGTAAACCTGTGCATGTTTTCAGAACATATGTAAGCAACCTATATGCAGATATACAATAGGTTTGCAAATCTAGGCTCTCAAAATGAAGACATGACAGAACTAGTATCTCTTAAACCACCTCTCTGAGAGCTTCCATTCCCAGCACCCTGCTCCTGTCTCTCTCCCTGATTTTCTCTCCCATCTTGCTGACCTCTCGGTCATCTTTGTTCCATATTTGGACTTAAATCCCTGATCTTTAGAACTGGAATCTAGTGCAAATGAGAAAAAGATCAGGGATTTTAGTTTCCAACCCATTTGTTTGACCGAGGCTGTTGCTGTCAGTCACGGGTCTAATTACTCTTAATTTTGCACTCATTTAGGAATTCTTTGTTTTGACATTTGGTACCATGTGATAACCCAACCAGAGCAGCTCATAGTATCCATTTTAGGGGAAAAAAAATATCGTTTGGTGAAGTATGACCTGTGCAAGTAGAATCTTTATTCTGATGCTTCGGAGAATTTATACTAATAGATACAAAGTGCAGTTTTCCAGTGGCAATGCTTGAGTAAATTCTTGCAGAGAATGCAAACAGATGTCCAAGTCTTCTTTTCACCTTTGATGATGCTAGATTTTTTTCCTTTTTTGTAACGAAAACATTTAAAGTCAATTGGACATAAATAGTGGAATTGTTTTGGTCAAAAGGTTCATGTGCTTATGAGAACAGTTATTCGCATACTAGCATGAAACCATCTGAGGGAACAAGGATAAATTGGTGGTAAGTCATAAGCTACATGAAATGAGGATTACAAAGGGAAGCATTATTAGTAAGTATTAACACCAACCTCACCTATAATACATCCCAAAGGCCATTGAAAGAGCTTTGGGCTTGCAGAGTTGAACGGTGGAAATTTAAAATGTGCTACTTTTAAAGTTACCAGTAAAATACCAGCTTGGCCCCAAACTGCTCGTGCACATTAGAATACAGGCATTAGTTACGAGTTTTGGGTTGTGTTTTTTAAGTGAGTAGCTATCTTAACATCTGATTTAACCTGCTCATTCATTGCATGGACCCCTTCATAATTTCTGCTCACTGCATTCAAGCCTTGCTTTCAATTCTGTCTAGGTCAGATTTTCATCATGGCGTCTTAGGTTTATGAATGTTATCTATTGCTTTCTTATCAACTGTGTGATATTAGTCTTGTTATCTCCATTTATATGAGGAGATTCAATTTCTAATTCTCAGGAATTAGTGTCAAAACTATCAGCCAGTTTTGAGTGCCCAGTTTGATACTCTGGGGTCTGATACCTCGGAATACTCAGTGTTTGATGGCAGTGCTTTATTTTGGAAGCCCAGCGCCTACTGACTGCAGCTGCTGCTCTAAGTGCTTGTAAATACTGTAAATGAAGCCTCCCATATGTCACGTTGTGATTTGGGAAAGCGGGGGACCTGCAGATCGTGATTATCTGTGCAGCACGGCTCAGCGTCAGATACCTGGTCCTATTTACAGCAGGATTCCATAGAAGAGACAGAGTTTGGTTAACCGCTGTGCCGCTGAGCAGCCTTTAGCACAGGATTGTCCTTCATGACACTAAACTTCCCTCATTTTGCTACAGACTTTCCAGCTTTGGCCATAAATAAGAGAAAGGTGTTGTGGCTTACCTGGCCTACCCTCTGAGTGCAGTGTAACTCTTTCAGGCTTCATTTTAGCATCTCCTTATTTTTGAATACTTAACATTGCCTTAATATGTCCCTTTAACATAGGGCTGTGCTTTTTTTTTTAATGAAAACTTCTTAAAGGAAATCTTCTTAAAAGACTTCCAAGTCTTAAATGGCTTAAACTCCTAAACTAATTAACGAACTGATTTGAAATTTCTCAGAAGCTGTGTTTGTGCTTGAGGAATAAACAGCTGAAAATGGTCGAGGGCTCAATGGTGGTTTTCTCATATAAAGCTAAAGGACTGAACTGAAGCTTCAGCTGCAAAGTAGTGCTCAGCATTAACTGCAAGCCTTGCCTCAGCCTTACCCAGAGCTGCTCCGTTAACTGCAGCCTAGACTGCCAGCAGCTACTGGAAGCTGCTGCTTCCCTCTCTCCCTGCCTTCCTTCCCTGTGTGATCTCTGCCTGCCACTTCCTCAGCTCAGTGTGCTCTTGAGTGTATCTTTCTCCTGAACTGCTCCCTTCATCTATCTATCTTGCTACTCCTCTATCTTTCCCCTTCATCTCAGCCCTTTGCTAACCTAGCGTGAGGGGAAAGGCAGAGGAAGCCTTTTGCTCTGGGGGCAACCTTTGGTCTCTGAAAGGCGGCTTGGAAAAAAGGGAAAACGGGACTATAGCATCCAAGCAACAGCACAAACAGCAGCTAGACACAAGAGGACTTTGGTGCACCTGTACTGCCTGCTTCATCAGGATAACTTCATGCACAAGAAAAATGGAGGGAGAGAGACCTCTCCTTCCTGCTTTCTACAGAAGCAGTTGCCTCCAGCTGTGAGGCCTGAAGAACCTCAAAGAGCCAGTCCTTCTTCCCCACACAGGACCGTCTTAGGCGTGGGAGCAAAGGGTGCCAGATCTGGGCACCCATCTCTAATGGGGTCTGAGAACCTGCCAGGGAGCGTGGGCGCTGTCAGAAATCTGGTTTAACACGAGGGAGATGGATCAGACAGAATCCAAATTTCCCTGTGCTTTCTGATCAGCTTTGCAGGGGAAGCAGCTACCGGTCCCTCACAGATAAATCCATCATGGACAGTTGATTTTTGTGTGCAAAGTGCAGGCCTGTTACCTATGCAATGAGTTGGTAGTTCCAAATTGCTTGCACGTGCGACAGACATCATGTCTGCACTACATATATGGCAGTGGTTGCCTCAGACCTTCTGTAGTTGCACAGGATCCTGATGGGCACAGTAGCTGCTTTTCTATTTTTTCTGATTTGTAGCGCTGAAATTCGGAGCAAGAGTATATGCATTTCTCTCTGCTAGTGATAATGAATGACTTAGCAGGCAAAGATTGTCCTAGATTTCACCATTGCAACTTTGGCGTGTTCGCTGTGGTTGAAATCCCACACAGATGGTTTGATAAGGACCCAAAAGTCCTTAGGTGACCATGTCCAAAAGACACAGAGAGCTGTAGCGTGAGTGTGGAGAGAGTCTTTCCTGCCCCAGGCAGACCAGCTTGGGAGAATCAGCATCACCCTTCGTATAAACACTGCCAGCACTGGCACTTTTCTGCAGCAGCACCTGCAGGCAGCAACTGCTTCTTGATCTTGCTGAGCGATAGATTTATTTGTTTTCAAGGGCAGACTGTGGCTTCTGCTGCACAGAGATGGAGCTGAAAGATGAGGCGATGGCCTAGGGGAAGAGGCAGGGAATGTGGCTTTGACACACATATACTGAATAATTGGGATAGGAACCAAAGAAATATTCATGACTCTGTCGCAAAATAAACAGATTTTTTGATTAAATTTGAGTTTTCTCTTTAAAGCAGTTGAAGTTGCTCTGTGATTGGCAGCATGGAAATGAGTTTGCTATAGATTGTGGCTGGCTGGAGGATCCCATTTGGAGCTGTTAGCCAAGATAATGCTGCAGATACCTGGCTGCCGCACGCTGGCAGGAGTTCTGGTCGGCTCTGCCAGAAAGCTGCACTGTCTGGGCAGCTGCAGTGCAGCTGTTGGACGATCAGATTAATCCAACCTGTTCTCTCCGAGCTTCATCCATGTAGCCTACCCCAAAATCCATCCCAGGCCCACCAGACAGTTTGCTTCGCTATTTACTGATCTGGCTTAACTTCTAGTGAGACAGTATGACTGATATCCTCCGTGGCTGCCTAGAGGTATATTTGCCTTTTTTGTTTGTTTTTGCATTTTTGACATGATAAAAGGGGACCTCAGAGTTACATGATTGAATGAGAGTTCAAAGGATTTATTACAGCATTTGCCTGGCTTTTCTCCTGGGCTTTAGCAGAATTTCAGTGATGCCTGGTAAGAAGCCTGGCAGATTCCATTGCACTGCAGCGGACATCAGGGAAGCAGGAGGCTTCTGAGCACGTTTGCTAGCGGGACACGCGAATAGATCTGTGCCTGTGCCGAGGTCCTCACGGTGCCTCTGTTCTTACACAGGGCATTACTAGAGGAACCTGCCAAAATGAACATATCTTTCAGTTCTGAAATGACTAAACTGAGCAAATGTCCATGATCTGATGCAGTCTGTTCCTGAGCTCTCTTTGTCACCAACTCTTTTCTCCGAATCCCAGTTGCAGTAGCAGCTTCCTGCCACCTCCCTGTCCCCGCAGTTGGGACCGGCTGTGCCAGCCCAGCCCCAGGGCACTGCTCCTTGGTTCTGCTTTGTGTCCCCCGTAAGGGTGGACTGCACAGTATGCAATGATTTTATGATATGAGAAAAAGGACAGCACCACTTGCCAGGGAGTTTCACAAGAATTTACTACATTTTCTGAAGGCTTCTAAAATCATGGTTTAGTCCAGTGACATTACTGGTTAGTAGTTAAGGCTTTTGAGTAGTAAAAAGGACAGAGTATTGGAATCTGGGTATTAAATTGTAATAAAGAAGCAAACTGATAGGGAAAGCTCTATAGAAGGATGAGATGTGAACATATGCATGGATAAACCAGTAAGTGAGCAGTGCAGTAGCTCACTCAGGGACCTCTCTTTCTAGCTGTAGTCAGTGATGTTCTGCACGTCTGCTTTGACTCTCTAGTCTGGTTCATAAAATACGGTCTAAATTAAGACATTTGGGTTTGCTACTGAACAAACTGGCCTGGTTAAAACACATGTAACCTCATCAAGAGGAAATATTATTTAATATTGTATTACAGCTCCAAAGTTCCATCTTTCCAAAATTTGTGGGGTCTCGGTTATGGAATCCATTACGTTTATCTCTCCTTGCTTAAGCTCTGCTTTGAAGGTAGCTGCAGACCCAAGGATTTGCTGACTTTATTAAGACAGTCTGCTCAAAGCAGATACTGAGGCAGGACAGTTCATGCAAGCGGGTGCTATTTTGCCATAAGTGCACGGGAATCTCCTTGGGCATTAGCCTTAGCACAGAGGGAACACCGTGGTGCTCCCCTTTCACTCCTTGCGTTGTGTAAGGGGGACCATCCAGCTGCACTTTGGTGCCAGAAGGAAAGGCTCAAAGGAGGGCAGGCTCCTGGGAGGCATCGGGATAAACAGCAGTGAGATCCGCGCCGCAGCCCCGGAGCCTTCGCATCCCGTCCCTGTGTCAAGCTGCCTTTAATGAAGGCTGTAAAATATATGGCCCTGGCTATAATCTTTAAGGATTAAAATGATTACCTGGCAAGTTGAAGTAATTAACTATTCGCAGCCAGGAATCAAGCCACAGATGTATGGTTGGAAGGATGCGCAAGGAATATATTAGCTCAGTAAGTATTAGTAATGCTATCCATCCTTTTTGTTTTGTTTTCGTTAAAGAAAACTTGTGGGTGGAAATAAGGTATTGACAGCTTTTATGACCGCTGGAGTAAGTGAGAGCAAGCTTAGCAGAGATGCAGGACATGTTTTAGATGCACATGCTTGATCTGATAACATTGTTCTCTTTTTTTCCCTAAAAGTGTCACAGATTTTTGAAATAAAATATATTTTAAAAATAATTAAGTAGTGCCTTATAATTTTGAATTATGCTGGTTCTTAAAGCTGGACACTCTCTAAATTAGTCTTAGAGGTGGGTTGTCATTGAGCTAAGGAAAAAAGAGTGGTGTTTTGCCCCCTTGCTGTCTGTAGAAGTGAGCTGATCTTTGTTCTGCTGGGCAAGGTGGAAATGTGCATAATCCATAAATACTAGAATCTTACGTGCTCATTTAATGTGCTTTCATTTCAGATCACCACACTATGCCTGCCCTGAAGTAATCCGGGTAAGTTGGTTGAAATCTGAATATCAATGCCTATGTATGAAAGCATGTTGCATCCTGCATGTATGCAGCTAGTATGAAACGTGTCCAAGGCAAACAGCTGCGTTGTTTGGGAAGGGGAAAGGACACAAGGATTGTAGCTGAGGTTTCCCCTGTTTGACTTGGCCCTCAATTAAGCTGCATCAACAGGGCAAGGGAGCGTGTTCCTGTGTGGTTCTCAGAGCCCCTGCCTGCCATGGGATCGTCCAGAGCTACAGTAGCCTGGTTTCACTTGAGCTTTCCACCCAGGGATTGCAGTCCCTTGCACTTTCCCTTCCTGTGGCTGTCACTGATGGGGGGTTCTGTTAACAATATGAACTATCATTTCCCTTTACTCCCCCTTTGTCCTCCTAAGATGAGTGTCCAGGTCTCCGGGGACCAAGAGCTCCCCTCCCTTGTAAAGCAGAGCATCAATATAGAGCCAAACCAAAACAGTGCTGAAGAAACGGTCAATACTGTCAGTTCACAAACACCGTGACCGCTGACAAGCTCCCTAAAGAACCACTGAGGAGTAAAATGGTTTCTTGATGCCCTTTGGACTCTGTCTAAGCACCAATCCTAATCATTTCCACATCACAGTCCATTCCTCCACTGCTCCCAACTTTTGACCCTGTTCTTGCAAAACCCAGATAAGATGGTTCATAAAAATTCAATTAATGGGCTGGGTCGAGGCCTCCTGGTTGTGAGAGTCTCCTTGGGAAGCAGGTAAATGAATTGAAATAGAGGGTTTCCCATTCTACTCTCTCTGCCTTTTCAAGGATAATGAATTCAATTACTAGTGAGCACTCCTTTGAACTTTTGTGTCATTGTTGCGCAGGGAGAAAAATATGATGGAAGGAAAGCAGACGTCTGGAGCTGCGGAGTCATTTTATTTGCGTTGCTAGTGGTGAGTCATCTCCCTTGCTCTACATTTTAAAAAGAAAATAAGAATCCTAAAATGCTGCTTTATTTAACAGTGATTCTATGGACATAATGTATAGTTTTTGTATAGTTATCATGTATAGTGTTTTCTTAGTTGTCCTATTTTTGTATCTTCAGTTGCATCCTCTCCTCTTACTTCTACATCAGTCCCAAAGGAAAAGCTTGAAAAACATTTCAGTGCTTCTTTGAACTGCTTCTGCTCCACACAGACAACTGCCAGAGACTTGCCTCCCTGTGCTGTGATATTGCAGTGCCTTAAAGAGCATATTGAAGTTCTGGGGCCAAAGGGATATGCAGGGTTACAAGTACATGATGCAGGCAATGTCTGTCTTAAAGATTTTGTCACTGTATGTTTCAGTATGTATATGCATACATCAACTGCAGTGTTTTATCAAGAGGAGAATCAAGTGCAACAGTTTTGTTTCATGCAAGCATTGAGCTACATTTTAATTTGGTACACTTGAGAATATAGAACTGAGCCAAAACTACAAAGTTTAAATTAGTTTCCATCTGGTTTAGCAGTACTTTCCTTAGTGTTCAAAATCTCAGATCTCATCCTTGGTTCAAAGTTTCAGTCCTCTGTGGATTTTATTCAGATTTGTAAAGCTTCCACTCTCAAACATACAGCAATTGGATGTCTACCTGAAAGCTGGCAGATGAGCTTGGCATTTGTTAGGAAAGTCCATATTCCAAAAGGTAGGAATAATAGAGGAGTATAGGAATATGTCCATAAAACAGGAAAACAAAGATGATGTTCTCGTTAGCAAGCGTATTACCATATGCAGATTTAATAGTGTATGTGAGGATAGATTTAATATGTCTGTAAGTTTTATATCTAAAATAGCTCAGATTACCTATGGTTACAATTTAACAAGCATGAAGTCAAATTTAGATCTCACTATACATTTACAGTAAACCTAGCTACTAATTTTTCACTTGAGCTTTTAATTTTGACAAAAGTACTTCTTCACTGAAATGAAAACCTTTTGTGGGAGTTAGATTCTCCTCATTATTTTTACTTAAAACACTTGAAAATTATCAAGGAGTTTTGTGTCAAAATTTATGTTGATAATCTGGAAAACAGTAAAAATCAAAATAACTTGAAGTAATCTCAGTAGGATGCTTTAAATCATCTTAACAATTTTTCATCTTTTTGATCATTTCTGTTCACTGACATTTTTCAAGATCTCAAATTTTTATGTTGATTTTGCAAGGGAGGAATTTTAATTGTCTCACAATTTATCATTGGGTCATCTCTTGTTCCTGAGCAGGTAGTTTCATGGGTAATGAAACACGACTATATAGTGAACTCTTAATACAGCTTCTTCAGTTCTTGGAAAAACAGAGAGAAGGTGCTGAGATGTTAGGATCTGTGGGAGGGAGCTTTTCCTCTTCCTGTCGAGGCTTGGTGTCTGTCCCTCAGTTGCTGGGAAACGTCTTCACGTCTTCATCTGTTCCTACATATATACATGAGCCTACAAAACAGTTGGAATAAGCCTACTACTGACAGAGCAGAGCTCTCTAGTTAATTATGTCAGGAGAAACCCTACAAAAAGTCTCAAGCTATAATAGTAGTTGTAATAAAAGCGCTGTAGTTGTTACCTTCAGGAAATGCCACAAAGCAGCCTTGCTGACTTCATCATGGATTAAATTGCACTGGCTAAAATCTTGAACTATCAGAATTGATTTTTCTTTAAGTCTGAATGATTAGGAAAAGCTTGAGGTAACTCAAACGATTGGCTACAGAGTGGGGGGAAGCTCTCTGGGACCACCTGGATGGGCAAACAAAAGGAAGAAGAACCCCATGGCTGTTCCAGCCAGGCAGCCTTCCTGCAAATGGAGCTGCTGGTCTCTGGAAACCGTATAGACAGAGGATTGATAGGATTGATTATACAGGTGCAGTACTCACTGTAGTAAGAGCAGTGCCAATATTGACAGCCCAAAACTTCATTATCACGGCAGCTGACAGCTTGCAACTTCCCACAAACCTTCCTGGAAATGAAGGAAGCTTCAGCACCAACTGCAATTATGCAATGCAAGAAGGAAGTGACACAGAATAGCTAGGAAGAGCCAGCTTGCTATAAGAGGATATCAGCTCCAGTGAGTGGAGTTATCCTAAAGGTTTCTTTTTTTTCTTCTTTTTGTCCTTGTAACTAGGATAGATCTTTTGCTGCTCTTTGTGGCAAGCTGATGATCTATTCAAAAGGTGGATTTTAGCTCAAAAACCTCAAGACATTCTTACAAGAGAGCTACTGTAGGGAAGCAATAGGAACTGATGATCTGACTGTGTCATGGGAATTGGATGGAACAGATTAAAAAACCAGAATATCTGATGCTTCCAAAGGTCAATGTTGGTTAGGTTTTCTTTCAGCTATGTCTCTCTATTGCTCCAAGAGAAAGAGGATGTTCTTTAGTGAAAGTCTGTCAAATGCTGTTCACCTTCTTTTTGGCATTTGCAATAAATGTGTCTCAGGAAGATTAGAAGTAAGGAGACGATAAACATTGCTGCAGTGAAAGTATGCCCAGGAGGAACACCAACAGATCAAAAGCTTGAGCTGAATTTAAGTGAGTCCATGCATCTTTAGTGAATTTGCCTGGAAAGGCAATTTCATATTTTGTATTATGTTTTGTACCAGTATTCATTTTCTAATTAAAGGTTTAACAGAAAAAAACTGTCCTTAGTTTTGTTTTCTATGTTGGAGAAAATACAACAGCACCTAAATATTAACTGTTTTCAGTGGATAGAAAGAGGGCTTCACATTTTCTAATAATTCAATCTGAACTGATTTTTGCTTTTCCTATCTCTTATTATCCTTCTGCTTTTGCCCTCTCCAAATCCCTTTCTCTCATCTTTCCAATCCACAATTCTGTCATCCCTGCAGGGTGCCCTGCCATTTGATGATGACAACTTGCGGCAACTGTTGGAGAAGGTGAAACGTGGAGTGTTCCACATGCCACATTTTATCCCCCCAGACTGTCAGAACCTCTTGCGGGGGATGATTGAAGTGGATGCCTCGAAACGGCTCACGGTAAGAAGGCATTTGCTGCAGACCATGTGATCAGGGCTTCATTTGTCATCTCACTGTAGTTAGGCTTGGATAACTGAGATAGCTGATTTATTGTCACTTCTCTGTATTTCCACCTAAAGAAAGAATGAAGGGAATTTGTGAAGTCTTTGGGAAGAGGTTAATTGCCTTCTCTTTTGAAGGAACGGAGGCACATTACCACCTCTGTTTCCCTAACCTCGCAATTCACCTTCATAAAGAAACAGTGGATGTTTGGAATAACTCCCTCCTCATGTCATCACAGCACTGCTGATGCAGGAGAGAGTTAATGGAAAGGAGGATATTCAGAATTCCCAGAAGCTCAGCACTAGCCGGAATTATGCAGTGCAAGAGGGAAGGGAGACCAAACACCTAGGAAAGTGTCGTGGGCAGCATGGTTCTCCAGGCTGATACACTGGCTTGTCAGGGTCATGATAGAACTAATGGAAGGACAAAACTGCTACATTTCTGACTAAAACTGTGGCTTGTCACTTCAGTATATCTATCCTGCACATGCCCTGCATTATCCTTTGGCATCCTTGAGAGCAGGTGTCTTCTGATCTTCACATTGTGTCCTGTGGTCCTGAGCATAGATAGGCCACAGTGCTGAGCTCCTGACACTCAGCACTGAAACTCTGCATCTAGGATGCAGCCTGGCACTACAACAGAGGCCCTGCAAGGCTGGGCACTGTGTAGTGATGCTCTCCTTCATTAACACAATGTTAATGTTTTGGGGAATTAAAAAAAAAAATTAGCAATTAAAATCATTTTGGAAGGCAAGATTGCCTGCTTGTCAGTGGAGGCTTCTGCCTTTATGGGTGCATTGCCCTTGTAAATCTATTGTCAGGCTCTGGTGATGATTTTATACAGATTTACTAAGCTCACAGATTCTGAGTGGGAGTATGTATAAAGAAATGTAAATTTAAAACTCCTCCTGGTTCTTCAGCCTGCTAAAATATTTATAAATAAACTCTCAGATCAGTGCTTGGCCCCTCTGCCGCGATTGCTAACAACAGCATCAGTGTGCACCAGCTGTGACAGCGCTTTGGGGATGCAGACACCTGTCTGCTAAAGAGAAACTGAAACTCCCATCATAACTTTCGGTACAGTGTTACCTGGCAGCCACAGCTGCTTTATTTCATTCATTATGAAACCAGGTCATGCTCTGTTTGGTGGCTGAGGTGAAAAGTTCTTTCTATTATGACTAGGAACTGTAACTGTTTAGATCCGATAGAGATTGTATTGCAGAACTTGAATATCACTGATTTAAAAAAAAAAAAAAACTAACAAAAATATTAGACACAGAAAAAGGCACCTGCTTAAAGAAATTATAGCAGCCATGATCATCTAGTTATTTTCAAAAAATCCAGCAGAATCTAGGGCTGGACTCTGAGACAGCTTTTCTTTATGATCAAGAAAGTCACCAAGCCTCTACCTCAGTTTCCTTTTCATAAGGTAAATAAAACTATGTTTGCTACCTCACAGAGTAGAAAGAATAAGGCCATAAGGCAACAGGGAATAGGGCTCACAATGAGTAGACAGATGGGAACATTTTTTGATCGAAAAGAAACTCTTATTTCTGTAGGGAGAAAGAAAACAGATCGGGTAGTTATTGGCAAACAGTGAATTGTGAATAAGAATTTGAAATGCAATGTATGCAAGAGCTGAAAGGTGAGAGGAAAAAGGACTAGCTATTTGTTATTAGTTACAAACTTATTTTCATTATTTTAGGGTCTTTCAGTTTGCTGCCTGCTGCTGTCACACTCCCCTTGCTGTTCTGCTGCGTTGCGGCTGCTTGGCTTCCAGGCAGAGGCTTCGCTTGGTGTAATGCACAGGAGCTGGGTGGGAGAATATGGGTTGTTTGGAGGAGCCATCTGAGTTCTGTTATAGCTGCCTCCTGTGAAAAAGGAATGAATATAGGTCTGTTTGGAAGTCTCTGTTCTTGGCAAATACCTCACTTGAACACTTTGGTATTTATACAAAGATCTATGTGAAATTGTGTGCTGGGTACTAAACGTGCAGTTCGCAGCTGTACATATTACCGCTGATCATTTGTTCAATATCTTGCTGGTGAATTCAGCAGAAAAATAGAGTGAGATTTAAGGTCACTGGAATTCTTTTCCTCTCTCTGCTTTGTTCCTTTTTTGGTTTCTATCTTTTTTTCATGGCGCTGCATTTCCCTCCCTGCAGTAATTGCCATTTCACAGCACACCCACACCTTCCCAGTCCATCTGTTGAAATGATCATCAAAAGCCGAGCGTTCGACTGTCAGCGTTCGGCTCCGCTCTTATAGCTGGAGAGGGTTAACAGGGAGGAGGGTATCTGGAATCACTGCTGTTGGCCCTTTCCTGCCTTAGGAAATCGGTGTTACCTTTTTGTGTGTGTAAGATTCATTTACGGAAAGAAGACTTTGTTATGGGATATTGGTCGGGCTCCCCAGATATTGTGTAGCCTACAGTGTGTTTGGTGGGCAAGGCTTCAGCACTCTGGTTTACTGGGACTGCTTAGCTAAACATACTTGAAATAAAAGAATCCATTTTTTCCTTGCAGTAGGCACCATGCAGTGGAGATCGTAGCTGCTGCTGCTGTTTTAAGTGTCTCTGACCACCCATGTTTAGGAAACATTAAATGAAGCTGGTTGTGGCGCCAAGTCTGCCTGCTAAGGTGACTGGGAGATTGGAGAGTCTGTCAGATTGTGCTTTAAGGAGCCCAGCTCTCTTAGTCTGCCAGAATAGCTGGGGAAGGATGTACTAGTTGTCAGCATATGCCTTAGAGGCAATTGCCAGGGAGAAGGGGGTTATTTAAGCTAAAGAAGATACTGGCACAAAAATAAATGAATAGCAAATGCTCTTACATAAAAGCAAGCTAGAATGGAGCATTATTTTAGCTGTGGCAGCCAGGTTCTAGGACAGCTTTCTAGTAGGAGGAGTGTTGGGAGGGAGAGCGAGCCGCGCTGAAGCCGCCGCGCGCCAGGTTTGTGCAGGAGAGCGAGTGCTCCTGCTGCCTGCAGTACCGCAGGGGGAGGGTCCTGAAGCCTTGTGCTCTTCTGAGAGGAAACGCTTCTTTCCATGGAGGGTTCCAGTGATTCAGCATCTTTGCAGAGGGAGAATTATGGTCACTGTAGGGGAATCCATTTAATTCTCAGTTGCTGCTTCCTTCTGCAGGAGTCCGGAGACAAAAAGGAAGGACTGTGGAGCTTTTGCTCCGCATTCCTTTTAATGGTGGCTAGAACGAGTTTGATCAGGACACATGTTACAGAATAAGCTATTATTATGAAGCTGTTACTGCTTACAGTGTTGACATTTTATTCCAGAATACAGTGAGCAGTCATCTTTGTCAGGTAATCACACAGAGGCTACTCTGAAATACCTATGCCTGAAAACTATCCAGTTTAAACTACCCCAGATTTTCAGCATCTCCTCTCTGCTGATTTGTTTTGTCTGTGGCCTAATGTATGCTAATGATGATGTGTTCTTTATTGCTTGGACTGCAGCATCTAAAGAATGCTTAAAAAATAGCAAGGGATGAACTCATCCTGTGTCCTTTTGCGTTTTTCTAGGTGATCTGATACTGAGATGCCTAGCACATCATTTAAATTATCTCACTTCACCACCTGTACAGCGGAAGCAAATGTACAGTGGAAGTAAACGTCTAGTAGATGTATGTTGGCAGCAAACTCTCGTTTGCCAATGACCTTTTCTTATAATTTGCACCTAACATGTTGACACTTTGCCCTTGTCAAGGTCCTTAGAGATTGCTATAGTACAGCTGCTAATACTGACAGTGATAGTGATTCCACCAGTACCATTTGCACTGTCAGCTTAAATTCTTTGGCCATAGAAAGCCTGTATCTTAACATTATGAAGTACATTTAAAGCTCAGGCAAGAGGATCTGCTGATGGAAGATTTACCTAAGGTGCAGGACCACTTTTTGCAAAGCTGGGTTTGAGACTTCGCTCTCTGAAGAGGGAAGTCTGCAATCTGACAGGAGCACGAGCCCAGATTCACATCCACAGATTTTGAGAAAGTTTTTCTTCAGGACAGAACTTTTAAGCTTGGCAACCGCTCTGCTGAGATCAGTGCTCAGGATGCAGACAGCACTGCCTTGTTTTCCATCTGCCTGTCTATCTCCATCTGTTGTTCCCTCTCAGAATTCAGACGTAAGCTCCTTGGGGGAGGAGACCTCTTTCTCTGATGAACTGGTGCAGCTCTTCAGCACAACGGGGTGTCATCTATGAGCGGGGCTCCTAAATGCCATGTCACCGTACAAATTTAATACATATTGGGAGTATTTTTATATAAAATTGGTAAAGGAATTCCCCCCCTCTCCTTACATTACAGCATTTTAGCTTGCAGAAGCTTCTCTTGTGTCTCTGCTCGAGCAATGAATTTGAGCATGTTTTGTTGTTGTAGAGATGGCATCACGAGACAATTGCCTGTGGTGGCTAGAGATATTAGCAAGCAGCATTTTTACAACTCCCGTAAAATGGCATTAAATTTGGCAAACTCATGAGCAAACAGCAAGAACCCTCTGGGAAGGGCTGTTAAATGCCTTCGTCACTTAAATGCATTTAAACATTGTGTTTAAATGAATGCAGGAGGAGTGAGATTAGCTCCCACTGTGGATCTCCCTCCCCTGCATAGTAAAAAGCATAAAGACTTCTCCTTGTCAAAACCAATCGCCCTCCCATAACCCTCCTGTCACTTTAATGCAGGAGAAAAGCTACAAAGCATTAATTAATTACCTTTAAAAACGCAGTGAAGATGTTGGCAGCAGCAAGCACACTTGGAATAACATCTCAGTGCAATTATATATGAATCAAAATAGAAATTGATTCAGATTCGGAAGAGAAATAGGTTTTATAGAGTAGTTTCTGTATCTAGGGTATCCCAGAGCACTTCCCAGCAGTGATTTTGATGGGGATGGAGCTGCAGATGTGTAGGTAAACAGCAGCCATTGTGTTCTCATGTGCTAATTCACACACGTCCCTGGATGTATATGTTTATATACATCAAAGGTGCTTCCCTTTCAGAAAACTGCTGTGAGGTCTTTAGTTTGCAGGAGGTTGGTTGGCAGGGCTGGGCAGCAGGGATTTCTGTTTGACCTCCCTGAAGGAGCCTGAAGGTCTGTGGCTCGGATGAGAGCTGGTGATCCTCGCTTCCTGAAGCAGAGATGAAGTGCTGCTGTCTGCCTCATCGTGGCATTTCTGCCTATCCCAGGCACAACAGAACAGTGACCCAGGGAGACAGGAAATGCAGCAGAAGCAGCGAGCATGAAAGAGAGCTGGACATCGCTTAGCTGCATCATCTGCCTTCTGTCCAAAATCATTACGATCTCTAACTCTCCATGTGGGGTATATGAAATAAAAATTAGATAGGCATGTCATTGGATAGTTTCACCAAGCAAAGGAAGTACCCTCCTCAGTGGCTCCTTACAGTAGTGTGGACCTGATACCTGACCATATTAAATTCCTGTCTATTGTCACAATGGTGTGTCCTTATCCTCGCGTGCACACGCTGGAAGGGGCTGCTGCTCCCAGCACTTGGGCTGCTAGGTGACAGCTGGAGGTACAAGCAGCGACTGTACCTGCTGTACCTGCAACTGGTGGCAGTGTTGACACAGGCTTGGTTTTAAAGGAGGCTGTTTGTCTCTCATGCTTCTCCCTCTGGCCTGTCATGCTTCCCTAAGCTGTATTCCCTTGTTTCTTTGCTTTCAGGAAAAACCCAGTCTCACTTAACAAATGATCTTGTATAGAGTCTGAGCCTGAGCTATTCCAGGTTTCCCAGGCAAGGAGCTATTCTTATATAACACAGAAGCCCCTGAACACTTGTGCTGTGTGTTAAACACCCACTTCCTATTCCTGAGAGCTGCTTCCTTCATTCCTCTTGTGGTTTTTCTTTTTTTTCCCCCTGCTCCCTGATTATCCCTATTCTGGAACTAAAGGGAAAGGAATAAGAGCAGGACAACTGTCTCCGTTCCTGCTGACCAGTTTAATGGGGCTCTGCTTTCATCCTGTAGCTGGTAGCACTTGAGAACTCTGCGCTGCCTCTCGCTGCAGGCCTGGCCTGCGTACAGCGACGGTGCCCGCGGCTCCTTCAGAGCAGGGAAGAGGAGCAACATTGTCCTCCTGATGAAGAATGCCTGGCTATCTCTGAAGAATAATTTTACACTATGATGGAAGTGTAAATATACTCTATTAGAAAAGTTCTGCTGTAAGATTTTTTCTCTCTCCAGCTTAGGATTTCTCTTAGGAAAGAAAAGAGTGTGTGCAGAAAGGGCAGACGTTGCATAACATTTACTGGCATCTGCATCCTAAAAGCAGACAAGGCCACTATTAAACTTCGATCAGTCCTTTACTGCAAGGTGAAATGCTCGTGCCTGAAACAGAAAAGGAGGAAGCAAAAATAATTTGCAGGTTGCTGATGAGCTGCTGGAGCAGTAAATGGTTTGCCTGGACGTGGAGCTTTATTCCACATGGTCTTTAAATTCTAATGGCAAATGCAAAGCTGATCAGGAATGGGCCCTGCTAGATGATGATGTCACTCCTAGGTACTTTATTTTGTTCATTTACATTATCCATTTGAACTTGCTGAATTTTTATCTTTTCCTTCTCTCTCAATCCAAAACAAAACCAGAAATGGGCTTTTGGTGGAAAGAGGCAGTGATGAAGCACATTCTGAAAGGAGCTCCCTGTTAGTTTTAGTTAGACTGTAGAAGGGAAGGGCTCAGTAAGGGAAAAACTTATCTGCAACACACTTGCACATGAAGCCTTCTATGTCTGCATATTTCTAGAATTTGCTCCTGACTTGTTCCTTAAATCCAGAGGCCTGCTTTTTTTCCAGTGGAGTGGGTGAGGATGAGCATGCTCCTTGTGCATGCTCATCCTCATTGCTTTACATGCAATGTAAAGCTCCTGTCATTTGCACAGATCTAGCTCTGCAATGGTGGACTTAACACTAACTAGAGGCAAGCCTTGAATGTGGATATCATACGATATGACTACTTCTTTGCTACAGCACTAATTCCTTGTTTTCTTTTCCTTTGTAGCTAGAACATATTCAGAAACACATATGGTATATGTAAGTAACACTTTTTAATTAACTTTTGCATGTTTTCAGTCCTGTGTTATAGAAGTTAATATTCTGGTGCTCACTGAAGAGAGATTGGAATTAGAAAGCAGCTTTTAGACAGGTGGAGAAGGGCACAGAGGAGAGAACAGCATCTAGCAGTGCTGTTCTACGCTGTGCTTCTAAAATATTTCCATCTATGTCAATGCTAGCCAGGACCATTCATATACAGAAACATGTGAGTGGCAGTTGTTTGAAATAAGACATTCAGCTCAGAAATTTACTGTATTGAAAAATAAAAAACAGAAAAAAAAAAAAAAAAAAAAACAGTACCAGACACAATTAGTTGGCTATCCAGGGGCTACAGAGAATTCTTGAAAACCTTGACAAGAAAGGTTTTGCTTGGTCCTTTGTGGTGTCTTGGCTTTTCTCTGAAGCACAAACAAAAGTGATTATATTGGTAAGTGAGCACCTGTGAACAAGAGAGTTTCTGTCTTGTAATCCCGGCTCCTGCTTCTTCACAGCGAGCCAGGAGGCTGCTTCTGACCTTGTGAGCTGTTGACGCGGGAGCAGTTCTGTGACTTGATTAAAAGCAGCAGTCTTGACAGTTAAAACAGGAGGGCTCTGAGGAAAGTCTGGGCCTGTCCAGTGGTTTGGGCATGAGGAAGACTGATGGCTTTCAAAAGTGACCTTTCAGTTTATGTAGTCCTGATGTAAATAACAGTTTTGCTTTATACGGATGATAACCCAACGATATTAAGGAGAATGCTTCCCAGGTACAAACAGAGAAGTGATGTGTTGATACATGTTTCTGGGGATCAGGGTACCTCCAAGTTCCCAAAAAAATGTATTATGGTGAGTCCTGCCTCCTTAATTCTCCTGTCATTGCTCTTGGAAAGCTTTTGAGGATGATCTGACCTGATATTTAAGCCTGTCACTAGGATAAAAAAAAAAATAAAATTGGTTTCTCTAATTCTACCTTATGGTACTGTTCACTTGCTGGATTCATCAGACTTAAAGGGGACCTGAGGACATTGAACAATTTAGCAGAATAACATGGTTTGTTTGTTCTTACTTTGCCTGCAATGGTGGTTCACCCTGCCTCGGGCTTCTTTCGCACTCCTTGCTACCACTTGACATGACACTTTTTAAAACTAAGGAAGGATTTGAGTGTTTTACAAGGGGTAACACTTTTACGTGTTCTCTTTTTTTTTAAAAAAAAAGAAAGAAATTCTCATAGAAAAAAAATGTAAGAGAAATTAAGAGGGAGGAATTCTGACTGTAATCTCTATAATCTCTGTCCCTCCTATAATGTCTTACCTGAAATTCAAAAGTAAATGTTGTTTCCATTGAACTGGATAGTGGATCCCCTTTGTTTCCTCATGAATGAAATCCAGGCAACTGAACTTTTCCTCTACTTTACTCAGAAACAGAATAGAATAGAAAATAAAATCACATGGCACCCATCACTTGCATTACTCTTCTAACCTTCCTCAAGAGTTTTTCCTGGAAGTTTACACCTCACAGAGTATGGTTGTTCCAGGCTCACGTGCACAATTAAGCAGGTGTTATCTTAGGACTTTAGTCTAGCTTGCAAATTCAAAGATTTTTTTCTTTGCAATTGTAACTGTTAAACCCTTTTCATGTACTTCCTGATGAAGATCTGTCCCTCTGATGTTTGCCACTTCCCAATGGAAACTGTATCTGAGGGCATCCTCGTAAGAACTAACCTGGGTTTTGCAAAAGCAAATCTCTCTAGCATCCCTGTACAGTTAATGGAGAGAGAGACTCCTACAGAAATCAGTTCAGATTGCTTAAAAGAAGGTTTCTGCTCAAAATAGCTTTCCAAAAGAGTATTTTTCTCAGTCCCTCTCCGTTGCCCATGGATTGACCTAAGGAGTAACCTCCTTTGGCTAAATTTAGCCTGTGAATAACCCTGCCACCTCCAAACTCTGCTACTTCCACCTGGTAATGTTTCCCAGTCTCTCTGCATTCGTTTTGCCTCAATATATTGATGTTGACAAAGAGAATAATGGTTACAAGTGTGGTGTTTGTAGGCTATGGCTGTTTTGCTTGCAGCTTTCATGTTTTTCTTATGTAACACTACTATTCTGTATAAAATCTTTATTCTTTGTCATATATAGTTCACTAACCTAAAACTTGTGCACAGAACATGATAAGTGATTCTGCTTAGTTCTTAAATAGATATTCAGGATCCTGTAAAACTGCAATACTGTGAAAACGATGTAGGCGAGGCAGACTGAGAGAGGTCTTGAAAGTCAAAATCAGGATTCACAATCCTAAAATAAAAAGAAACCTTTAATCTCCAACCTCTCATTCCTCTTGCCCTCCCACTCAAATTAAATCACTGATATTTTTAAGCCTTTTTATTTTAAACAATTTTTTTTTGGTTGGGTTGGATTGTTTTCAAAATAATGCTAGATTTTGTGCCAGGTTTTCTTATATCAGATAAAAACCTCCAGAGCAAGTTACTTTTTATGAGGTAATAAAGACCAATTACTTTAATCATTTTTGATAAAGCAAGAGGTTAAATAGAATCTCCTGTTTTGGGAAATACAGAGGCCTCTAATGCTGTGTTAGGGCCCTCCCCTTTTGAGGGGCTCATATTTACCAAAATTAGGTAAAGAACAGTGGTACTGGTTGCACTTTGCTTTGAGGTAATGTAAAGGTGCAACTCTGTGAGATTCAGGAACAAATTTCAGAGAAAGATTCAGAACGGCCACCCTGTTGGGGAATCACCTCCGTTGTGGGCATCGCTGCTCACAGAAGCAGCGGGGTTTTAAAGCAGCAGCGACATCCATCCGGGGCTTCACAAAAATATACATGATTTGCAATATTCAGGAGACATTTGATGGCTGTGTGGGCTAAAATGCGACACATGTGTCACTCTGTACCAGACTGCGGATGGAGCAGACACGACAGTCCTGCCAATCATAGCACAGAGCCGGTGATTTTCATTTCCTGAAGCATTGAATGCGTTGCCAGATGACAGAGCTGCTCGTCAGAAGTTTTTCTTGTACCTGATGAGGAAGTGTGAAAATCCCTGACTCTGCCCGAGGTTGATCAGGTGCAGGGCGTAAGGGAAAACTGCTTTTTGGTGCGCAAGAGATAGCAGACTCTGCTCTCTAGAAAAGGCTCACAAGCTGATTTAAAGAGACTTGCAAGTGCTAGTCAGCTCTAGACTAAAGTGACTAGTAGGAAATCCAAATCATCTGGGAATTATCAAAAGCAATAATTTCTTTTTAATCTCTTTAATTCACCTTAAGGAGCTCTGCGTGTAATGTAATGAATGATTAATGAGGTCAGTACCTAGTAGTATGGAACATCCCATGCTTAAAAAACAAAAGCGTATGCTGCTGTCCAGAGGTCCACCCTACCAAAATGGATTTTAATGACAGGGTCATCTTTGGCTTTAATAATGAAAGATTATGAGCTGACCATTGCTTATACTGTGCTGAGAGCGAAGTCTTAACACGTTTTGAGTAATAACTTTCTCCCAGAGTAGCTACATCAGAAAGATAAGGCATTCAAGCGCTGTTTCTCTAGTTGGACCAGGATGTCTGAATCTATCCCTTAGAGTCAGGACCGTGCTGGCGTTGTACAAAACATCAGAGACTTCTGTGATACTCTGTCAAGGCACCAGAACTTCTGTTTTTTACTAAAAGTCTCATGTCATGTTTGCTTATGAGAGCAAACACTTCTTTGGGGACACAGTTTACCTAAGCTACTCCCCGCCTAACTACATAAAATCAAAGGGTGTTCAGGTTGCTTGCTATTTTTATCATTGTCTGTTACACATAGCCTGAAATCTTGAGCTGTTTTTTTATAGGTAGGACCTATAATTGCAGTGAATAATCAATATTTCCTGAGTTTAGTGAATGAAATAATTACACAGGGAGTTTGTGTGGATTCCCTTTAAAAGAATAACGTGCTCTGCCACTAATCATGTATTCCTAGGTCTGCCACTGACCTTGAGCAGCTCTCTTGGGCCCCAATTTTCAAATTTGCCTGTCTGAAGAGAAGCAGAGATTGCCATATTTAAGCATGTAAATAAGGGACCTCGTTTCCTGAAATATCTTTTGAAGTGTTTCAAACTGGGACCTCAACACTGAGGTCTCCTAAACCACTTCAGAAGTTTACAAGTGAAAATTGCTGGGAAGCCTGTTATATTTATAATTAGAGAAACCCGGGGTTGATTTGTTCACAGTTTGTTGTGTGAAAGCGAGTCATTCAGCTTGCACTTTTCAGCCTGATAGCCTGAGGTCTGGCCTGCTGATGAGACAGCATCTCTAAAACCATGCAGTGCTTTATAAATGTTTGGTATTAAGATGCTGAACAGCTGCTTAAATTATGAGGGCACTGGTAATCAAAATTCCTACTGCCTTTCTGACTTAACGCAGATCTTTCACAGTAAAGAAGCAACGTGCTGGTCACTTTTGGCCTTTATGGTCTTCTCTTCAGAAGCGAGTACCTGTCAGGTTGCGAGATCTGGTTTCTCAGTGGGAATTTAACAAGCTATTTCCATCTGTTGCTGCAGGCTGCATTTCAGAGGCAGGGTTCATTTGTAACTCACATTTCTCCTTTTTTTCCCTACCCATGTCTCTCTCCTTTATGTTCTTTCCTCTGCAGAGGGGGTAAGAATGAGCCAGAACCAGAGCAACCCATCCCTCGAAAGGTGCAGATTCGCTCTCTCCCTTCCCTGGAGGATATTGATCCGGATGTGTTAGATAGCATGCACTCGTTAGGCTGCTTCCGTGACCGAAATAAACTCTTACAGGACTTGTTGTCGGAAGAGTAAGCACTTGCTCAGTCTTAATATCCATGGGATATGCGCGGGCTGCAATGCTGAGAAACCTGGGGAAAGGCAGCGATTGCTTTAGCATGTCTCTTGCCATGAAGGAACCGTTGGGTTTTCTCGCTGTCTGGCTGCTCAGTTGCCAGGGAGGTGTTGGGAGGGAGCGGGAGGTCACGGAGTGTTTCCTGTGCCTGGTGACAGAAGGGTCACAGCCGGAGCTGCAGCAGAACCCTGGGCTGCCCTCTGTCCTCCCCTGCCTGGGGTGGTCACTTCATGGGCCCATGGGAGGGAGCTGGGCAGGGAGGGGTCCGGCCGTTGCTGCTCTCCCTGTTGAACCTGCCCCTATTGGCAGGGGTTTTGTTTACCTCAAACATCTCTTCCTGGAGGTGTCATGAGGGACCGATGGTGGAACGGGCACTTTGACAGCATCTGGCTGCCATTTCCCTTCAGACGTTAGGTGGACATGTTGCTTAGTCTGTCCAGGCCTCTGTTCAAGATACAGAGTGTAGTATTTATATTTCCTTTTCCCGCTAGCTGCTTGTTGGAGACAGCAAAAGCTCTGTGGGTTATATATCGAGTTGGCAGGTACACAAACATTTTCAGCTTATTTAGAATAACTGTAACTGTTTCTTTGATGAGAAGGGATATCTGCATGTTGTTGCTTTTTTTCTCTTTAAATTTTTTTTTCTTTTTTTTTTTTTTTATTTCAGAGAGAACCAAGAAAAAATGATTTATTTTCTTCTGCTTGACCGGAAGGAGAGGTATCCCAGTCATGAAGATGAGGATCTTCCCCCTAGGAATGAAATAGGTACTAACAATATGACATCTGTCATCATGAATCCATTTCAGTTAGTTCCTCTATGCCTTCTGTTGTTGGATGTTTGGGTTTTTTTTTCCTGTTATCCTCAAGCTCTAACATCACTGTTATCTTCTCACCAAAACAGTGTACAACACTGTTGAGAAACCTTTTTCTCAAGGAAAAACTCAAAGGTTTCATTTCCAGGACATGTCTGACTTACATTGCAGAAGCATCCAAGTTGGTTTTGAACCAAAAATCTTAGAAAATGTAATGAGAAACCCCAAGCTGGCTCTGTGCAAGCCAGGTTGGCGTTCGAAGCAGGGTAGGCTAGTGGCAGAATTCACTAATCTGCATGTAGCACCTTATTCCAGAATTATTCGTTAGTGTTTTATAAGCAGAGTACTGTTGGTGGCCAAGGACTACACTGTGACAGACTCAAGGGAAAATGCTTCCTGAAGGAGATGAGTGAGAGTCTCCTGCTGTGCTCAGTAACAAAAGTTTAACTGATAAAGTGCTAGTCACTTCAATCAGTGACCTAAAATAGCATTTTTACATTGTGTTGTGATTTTTAGATCTTGCTATTTAAGCACTTTCAAAGCTAGAAGCAAGTGCTCTTAATTTTACTGGAAACGCAAGAACCTCCCCATTCTATTGAGGAGTGCTATATTGAACAGTAAGCTTGATATTACTAAATTGGATTATTATATTAGTCCAGCTCCAGGCCATATAATTTTGCAAGGAAGTCTCTTGTTTGGGAGAAGAATAGGATGAGGATATCGATAGGATCATCTATAGGATGAGCAACACTTTTTTTTTTTTTTTTTTTAACTTTTTCTTAGAGGAAGCTGCAGAGAGCATATTAGCAGGGATCCTGATTAAGCTGAATTAATGTGCCAAATGCATGTCCTGTGGTCAGAAGCACCTGCTCAGAGTAGTCTGTCATCTAGCACTTCACAGTCAGCTTTTGACCCAAACAGATTACCCTGAAATGCAGGAATACCCCCATCTTATTTTAGCAATATTTTATCTTCTGAAAAGCATAGTGCCTCTAGGTTCTTCATATCCAACATGCAAGTGAATGTACAGCTATGCTCTGATACATTTTCTCTCCCACATGACAAATTATTTTATGTGTTGAACTGAAATTGTGGGCTCCACTGTTGTATTTATTTTGTACACAGAGTGAAAATGTTCTCCAACAGGGAAACATTACTCTGAATATACCATTGTGCTTCGCTGGCACGTTTTAGACTGAACATTCTTCTTTCAGTGTTTGTAAGTTGTATTTCCTCTTCCACAGGAGGTTTCCTCCTCTTTTGCTCCCAGCAGTATCTCTAAAAACACGAGGCCAGGTTTATTTAACAGCAGTCATGCTTCTGATGAATGTCTCATCATGAGCCATTAGCAATGGCCTTGCACAAACACAGAAGAGCAGAGAAAAGATTTTTCTCTGTAAGAAGAAACAGAGATTTAATAATAGCAGCTTGAAGAGATTTCTCAGAGTTCTGCCTTAGCTAAGCTCTTACCAAATAAGAAGGAGATGGCAATGTACTTATTTTTTCTTTCTGGTGTTCAATCTTGGAAAGGATGGATGCAGGTTAAAATAAAAATAAGCTCAGACTTGGCCACTTTACAGTTGCCTAGCTTTCCTTTAGCATGTTTGAGTTCATATGAAGCTTTCACAGAATGCCAAGGAAGGGTCAACCTCACCATCTTTGCAGTCCGTTTTGTTTTCCTGAGAACACAGAAGTTACGAATTTATCAGTAAAATATGTGAATGTTAACTAATATTTATTGAGCTAAAGGCTTCTGCATGGTGGAGGCATTTACTAAATCAGGGAGTGAGAGATTCAGTCAAAATAGTTAAACAGGATGTGGGAGCCTCACTGAGACCCAGACCTTAATTTCCTACCTTTTAAGTGAGTGCTTCCATCACTTGATTATTCCCTATATGGTACTCTCTTCCTCCGTAAAAATCCTTTGAAACAGCTTAATTTTTCTTTTGTAAGACGAAGGGAAAATACTTTACAAAAACTATAACAGACTAGGTTAGGACTTTCCTTCTTAGTTTTACCAGGGACTCATGAAGAGAAATGGGAGGTTTTCCTGTTTTCACTTCCTATGCTGCTGCACCATATGCCACCAGTTTAGTCTTTATGGCAGAATGGCTGTATGTTTAAGTGATTCCTTCTATTATGGGCTTCAAGTGATGATGGACTCAGTGTGTCAAGGATCACCACAGACCCTTTTAAAAAAATATATACAATACTTGCAACCATCAGCGCTGTATGTGTACGTGTATAGTATAGGTTAGTCAACCACTCAATCATTTCTTCGTTACCTTCCTGCAGACTTCTGGATGTGTGCTCCATCAAGCCTTGGTCAATTGTTGTTTGATTTATAGGTGTGTTTCAGCACCTGCTCTTTTGCTTATTCCCTCTCTTAAATAGCCTAAAATACAGATTGGAAATCAATATCTTCCAACATCTTGAGCAGCAAAAATTGATACAAAAGAATTATTTAGTATTTTAGAAATATCCTTATCCTACTCAATGTTTCTGTTGATTCTCTAATGATCCTTTTGGCTACTGTCCTTCTCTCAAGCTTTCTGCTTCTGATGACTGTATAAAATGCTATCATTCAAGTCTTTGGTTAACTTCTCCTTAAATTCCTTCTTAGCTCTCTTTTAATGTCTACCTCGTATTTGGTCTGTGATTTTTATAAGTGTCACTTGCCTAAATTTCCATTTCTTCTGTTTTGAACCTGGTTGGACAGGTTCAAAATATCCTATTATGAGTAGGTAATATATCGACTCATACATTTTTTTTTCTTGCCTTTTTCTTCTTTCTTATTGAGACTCCACTGGTAACTGACTTCAGTGTGGTCTGAGCTTACTCATCTCCTTTCTTTTCACTGCTTTCTTCATCTTCCTTCTCCCTTTTTACATTCTTTTTTAAGCTACATCCTTTCCTGACCCTTTCTAAAATCTGGTATCCCCCTGAGAAACTTTTATCAACTCCCTGTTGTGGATACTGACCTTAATTGCATTCTGCTTAATGTTTGTTGCTCAGCCCTAGTCACTCTTGTACCAGAAGTTGTTCTCCAGGATAGATCCTCTCTTATTCTCCAGGGTGTTTTGAAAAATAGTCTGAAGTGTTAAGTTATTTCTCAAAACCTTGTCTCAGCCTGCTTGTAACCACTTGTATGTGCGCAGCTGAAGACACCTCTTATTGCTGCATCTCCTGCTGATTTTCCCTTTACTTTATGCACTGTATATATTTTTCCTAATCTGGCGGTAGCTACCCCTATTATTATCTTCTACTAACATTTTATTACTGGAAATAGGCTGAAATAGAATGAGATTTAGCTGCTTTTTTCTTTTTTTTTTTCTACTTCATTTTTAAAAGAAAAATATTAGTAAGAAATGCTTGGGTTAGTAAGAAATACTTGGGTTAAAAGGATCAGGTGTTATCAAGAGCCTGTTTGCATATGAGCCTTATTTGCTCCTGCTCATTTTTTTCAAGAATAGACCTTGCCTAGAAGAAACTGTGCTCTAAAAACATGATGTAAGAGAGAGAAGAAACAGAGAAGCAGAAGTAGGGGAATGGAAGAGGACTGGCAACAAAATTAATATCATCAGACTAGGTAGTAGTGATAGAATTGTCAACCTAAATATTTTTGGTTTTACAAAGGAATCATGGCAGAGGAAAAAGCCTTAGCGGATGGGCACTGAGAGCTTATATCTAACTGCAGAGGTGAAGGATGCCTTTTCTTCAAGGTAGTTGCTCCTCACTAAAGATAAAAACATGCTTATAAATAGAGGGAAGAATAATTTAAAATGTGTTTATAAATAGAGACAAGGAACTAAATAGTCCAACTGAAGGAAATCCTTTCCTTTTTACTGTTCTGCTTTCCTCCTTTTTACTCATTGATGCCATCAGAGATGTTAGTAGCAAAACATTCAGTGGGTGCATTTGGTTCCCTGGTTCACTGTGGAGCTGTGTATAGTTTGGCAAGCCACTCAGGAGCACTTTCTGTGTCGTGGTTTGGAGCCCAGAGATTCCATTTTGGGGAGCAATTTTAGGTGCTTCTCAGAACCTCAGTAAATGTTTGGCTGCACCTTTTAAGAATTAGATGCCTTTAAAAATCTCATCTTTATACCTCTCTTGGCTCTCTGAAAAGTGGAAGTAGCACTTCTGTATTTCATAGAGACGCTACAAAATAAAAAATACAAAGCACTTCCGTTCCTATAGCAGTATAACTTGTATGAAGACCTCTGAGTTACGTCTCAGTAGCTCTCACTGGAGATTCATCTCAGGTAGACAAGAATCTTAATTTTTAGGGTTGAAAGAGGAAAAATATAAAGCAGTAGGGAAAACCTGAAATCTCTTTCAGTCTTCTTTGTATGCTCTTAAAGATGCAAAAAAGGGGCAGGAGGGGCAGGTATTGAAAAAACCCTGTACATCTGAGTTTAGCATATACTTAAGTCCCTGTGCAATACTTGCTCTAGCTGTGATGGACATCACAGGCCAGCACTAGCAACCTGCTTCCCCCTCCAGGTCATGGGATGGCTTACAGTCTGGCTAACAGCTTGGGCTGTGGCCCAGACTGTCGTCTTAGTCTTACTGTTATCAGCTGTGTAAAGGAACCTGTGCTAGCCATGTTACAGTCATACCTTTATTTTACAATGCACACACATTCAGGGCAGTAGGAGTACTCCCTCTGGCTCTAGGTGGATTGCAACTTGCATCTCACTGTTCGCAAATTTATAAGAAGGGTGATGCTGCAAATGGTCATGTCCATCACATAGATACCTGTGTCTGCAGGGGAGATGGGAGAGATTGTTGCAAGGGGGATAGCAAGGTACCCCCCTTAGCCAAGGCAGGTCACAGGCGAATCCAGCTGACAGCATTTTCTTTTCCTAAAGATCCCCCCAGGAAGCGTGTGGACTCCCCGATGTTGAACAGGCATGGGAAGCGGCGGCCAGAAAGGAAGTCGATGGAGGTCCTCAGTGTGACAGATGGCGGCTCCCCAGTCCCTGCTCGCAGAGCTATTGAAATGGCACAACATGGACAGAGGTGGGTCTCTTCTTCACCCAGGAGCTGCTAGTCCCACCTGGCTGGCTTTGTTTCCCTCGTTCCCCCCCATTTATGTTGTACATGCAAAAGAGTGTGGAGCTTTCCTATTTGCACCAGCCTTCATAGCAACATCCAAGAGCACTTGCCATGTGATCTGGCAGCCAGCAGTGCTTACGCACACAGGAGCAGAGGTCCTGCCAGGGGCTTGGGGGCTCTGTTTGCTTGTGCCCATCACTCAGGAAGCTACCGTGTCCTCTAGACAAGCTTCATCTTGCTTCATGTTAATTGTCCAGAATTTAAGCATTCACAATCTAAGCTAGTTATACAGGCTGCCACTCCAGGGAGTGGGGACAGACAACAGTCTCAGATTCATGTGTCCCCTGTTCCAGCAATCTTAGGTGGGTAAATTACCCTCTGTTTTTGCTTCCTGTCGCTGTAGCCTGCAGCCGGAAGCGGGATGACTATCTTGGGTTAGGTGGCCTAGCTTTTAGGCACCAGAAGTTAAATGAAAATTAACCTCACCCTCCATTTCTTCAAACAAATTAATCTGGAAAGGCCTGTCCAGGTATCTGTGGATAGCTCTAATATATGCTGTCAAAACCAACATGCGTCTGGCCCACAAAAATCATTGGTTATGTGTGTTGGACACGTATAATTTTGCCTCTTTTCGATTGGATAAAAGTGTCAGTCATGGTGAAACAGCAGGGGAAAATGGTGTCATCTCCAACCGGGTTCTGGTTAGGATAGGTGAACTGTGTTCCCCATGGAAGTTGCTTCCTCATTTCTTATGGCTAGTCTAAGGGGAGCTAGTACCTTTAAGTTTACACTTGAATAAATCAGTCTGTATAAAAGAACATTTCACATACATGTTTGCTACTGATGCTTTAGCTTTTGTTTCAGCTTTATGACATAATCTTCAGCTGCTAAGATCTGCTCGAAAAAGAGCTTGCTCTGCTCAGAAACTCCCTTTGCTGAGTGACAACTGAATGAAGAACACCATATACTTTCATGTCAAGAGGCTGCTAGTACTGTTGAAAAATTTTGCTGGGTAACCCTGGCAGTTCTATCTATAGTAAAGAGAAAGTGGTAGTTTCCAGGAGTTGCTAGGACTAATCTCAGAAATTTGTGGCTGGTTATCCTTGAGATACGGAGCCAAAAAAAATCTCATTGTAGTGTGGATTAGAAACCTGTCTTGTATATGTGTTTTTCTTTGATGTTTAATGAGGTCTAGGTTAAGGACTTACTCAGGTCAGGATGTATTCCCAGTGTTCCTCAGAGGCCCCTGAAGTGATAAGGTTGAGCACACAACATGACAGACATTTGCCCACTCCTTATTCAAGTTGCAGTGTTTCGTCTAGTACCTGGGAGACACATGGGCCATCATGTTCTCCAGGATGAACCAGCCAGAGGTGAATCATTTCTGCTCCAGGCTGCTTGTGAGCTGCAAAACTCTGCAGCTGCTGCAGTGAGTGTCCAGCTGGATGCAGCGAATACTGTATGGTGAGGTGAACAAGCTGAGGCAGTGATTCAGTCCTGCTCAGCCAGTCTAGAATTCATTAGATGGATCCTAAAGTTTTCTGAGAGCTGAAACCTTCCTATCCAACTCTCAGCTTTTACTTTGGATACAAAAGACTGAAGAGGATGCCAAGCTGCATCTCCATATCCAGAGTGTATCTTTTTGCTTTGAAATGTCTCATTCTGTGTGCAGATGAGAAAATGTTTGAAGTCAGAAGGTGAGTTTGGAGATAGAGGAGGGACATGCCCAGACTGCATGTCAGTGAGGAAGGGCTTTGGGCTAAAGGAGGAAAAGAAACCTGCCACGTACAAAAGAAGTTCGGGACAATGCATGCCACACAACTCTTACAGGCAGGACATCAAGGTGTGGCTGAGGGCAGAGAAAGGCATGTAAAAATGCCATGATTGATGATGATGAGCTTGGTAGTGCTTGCTTTGGAAGGGTTAAAGGGAAGATGTTATTTTATTCCACGTCTGAGCTTCCATTATTCATACCATTCCACATCCACAGATGACAACGGCACATTTTGTGTTGCTGGCAGCGCAATCGTTTATAACGTGAACTGGGTTCATTAACAAACACCACTGCATGGGGATTGTCTGGGGACGATGCATTGCTGATGGGGCACCATCTGTCAGAACAGTCAGGAGCAAAATGATAAGTGCCTTCCACCAAGAACGAGGGATTTTTAATGGCTAGCTGCATATTATTTTGCAGGAAATGACCCACTGAGAGTAGATTTTACAGCACTGGGTCTTAGATCCCAGAGATGGATGCAATTTTTTTTATTTTGAGAATGACATTTTTGGTCTGGATAGATGACTATTCAGTGCTTTTATCCCAGGGGGATTCTTCAGTACTAGGAAGACACAAATGACTGTGTAAACATCAGGGGACACAAAACCATTGCTCCTTTCTTAAGCTGGCAGAGCTAGTCATCTAACCAGTGGGCAGAGCACACATGTGTCTTGTGAGTTGATCCTATTGTGCCCTTCTGGTTTTACATGTCTGTGTGCTGAAGTGTGCGTTTGGTAACCATGTTGGGACCCTACAAGGGTCCAGTCTTGGCAGGGTTTATCTTTGAAACTTGTTTTGAAACTTGACAGTCTTAAGCCTTGCAGATTGTGAATGTAGTAGGTAAAAAACATAGTCCTTCAGTGGCTCAGTTGTAGCTAATGGTGAAGGAGGAGAATTCAATACAAAGGCAGCCTGTTGAGCTTGCAGATGCCTTGAAATGCTTGTGCGGAGCTGTGGAAGTGCTCGGTTGGGTCCTTGAATGTGCACAACAAACTTAGTAAGCACAAACACCAGCCACGCTACAATTTGTGGCTATTTTTGGCTATCAATTAACGAGATTCCTGATTACATCTTAAATACTTGTGGTACCCCCAGCTCTCAGACCATGTGGTATTTCAGTGAGATGGCAAAATAGAAAGGTTCTGAGCGCGGTGTAACACCAGCTGATTTGTGCCAAGGTCACGCAAAATACAAGGAATTCCACGGGAGCTCATAGCTCTCAGGGTAATGCCAGAATTTTTCTGCAGATCTGTTGGGAGAGTCCAAAAAGTCCTCAAAATCGGCTCTGTTATGTAACTGGTTTTCTCCTGGTTGTTGAAGTTTGCAGGAAAGATCAGTCGATATGAGGAAGCACTGTTCCCTGAAACAGTGAAGCGTAGAACAGCAAGGACACAGAACTGCAAACAGGGAGTTCGCAGAGACACAGAAGCAAAACAGGGAGTTTTGCTTCTGAGCTTCAGGTTTCCTTTCCCAGATTCTCAAAGAACATTTCTGTATACACAGTGTAGGGAAGGGAGCTTGGGAATAAGTGGTAATGGATTCTACAAATTGGAAGACAAAATGGGTCACCTATACTCTAGAAGGCTCTGCAGTCTGATTTGAACCCTTTCCCAGTTTGTTCTTACTGTTAATACCATCTGAAAAAGCCTGAGGAATGAGCAGTTTGCAATTTTTACCTTCAGGCGTGTTCTGTATCTGTGGACAATGTGACAAAGTAGATCCCCCAGGTTTTCTGGTGGATAAAGTGGAGCCAGGAACTGCGAGGATATATGGGGAAGTTGCAAGCATCTCAGACCTCAGAAGCCAGGGAGGCTTCTGCACTGTGCAGGCTCAAGCCATAGGTAGAAAGTAAAAGAAAGGTGTTTCAGAGCTTTGGTTAAAAAGGGGAGGATGGGTTGGGGGGCTGGGTGTCCAGCATTGCTTCAGGTGACTCTCTTTTATATATGTCCACACTAGTAACTCTGTTTTCTCGCTTTGTTCCTGCCATAGTAAAACAATGTTCAGTAAAAGCCTGGATATCTCTGAAGCCAATCCCAAATTCAACAAAGAAGAAAGGTATAAACACTGACAATATGTTCCTCTCCTCTACCTCACTGCTGAGACCTTAAAGATGCAGTACTTACCTTCTCCGTGTGGGGACAGAGCTGGTCTCTCTTTAGAAAGAACCAAAAAGGGTGGGATATTACACCCCCACACTGCAGGTATTTTTGTACAGTCTCATTTGAGGCTACCCTCAGTGCACCCTCTGACTGTATCAGTCTTTCCCTGCTAAAATTTCATACTACTGCTGCTTCTGTTTCAGTTCTGCCATGAGTAGGATGCCCAACATAGAAGATGTGTTTGTTAGAGCTGCTTTGGGAAGGACTGGAATATAAAATACTAGGAAAACCCAGAGTGCTCCACTTCCACCACTAAAAACAATAGAACAAATGAGTCAGTAACAGCAATGGAAGGAAACTTGGAAAATTGTGTGAGACAGGACAAAACTAAGTCCTGGTAGGTAAGAGACAAACTCTTGGAGACTGTCCTGTCTGCACCAGAGAACACAAGAGAAAAGAATTATTGAAAGGTAAACTTATTGGAGGGTGTTTCCTATCCAGCAGCTCAAGTGACAGATGAGAAGAAAAACAGAGGTGTGGATAGAGGCTAAGTGGACGACATGCATACCGCCAAATCTAGGGAATTTAAGGGAGTTTTTTTTGAGTCCATGAAAAAAAAAAGTTTAGCTTCTTGCAGGCTGAGACGATCTTTTGTAGTTGCTTTTTAAAATCTTAACCTGCCACGATAAAGGACAGATCTAGTGTGTGTGCAGAAGGAGAAGGAGTCCTGATGTGGTGTATAAGGTATCCTCTTCACGAGGCCAAGCTAGAAGCAAGCTTTGCACTCAGACTGTTACAAACTTCTCACAGCCATGAAGAAGTAGTGGTTTGCTGCCAGATTGTGCAGGCCTTAGCTGCTGAGCTTTTCTAAACTGTTACTGTAGACATAGAAGTTGGTGTTCCTTTAATTTCCCCAGTATGTAAGTTCTGCTCTTGAACATTTGGCACTTCTTACATTAAAAGTTGGTCTGAGACTTCTCCCAAGATTAGTTCTTCCACAGTAATTAAAAGTCAGTTCCAATAAGAGAGGTGCCTTTGCATTTCATCTGTGATATGAGAAGCATCTTTCAGCAGATGTTCCCAGCACC